ATGTCACGCTTGCATCCCAAGTACCAAGTTGTCCGACTCCCCATTGTTCTCGGTGCCTTATGTTTGGTACCTCCCAATCTGTTTCAATTTGAAGAGTACCCGGGTTTGCTACCAGGAATACAGCCCTTATGACAATCTGGGTAATGCAGAAGGCTGCAGTGTTGGGGAGTCATCACATTCTCCGAAAAGTTCTGGGTGGGTTTGACTAGGCAACGCTTCCTGGGAGAAGTCCCATTCGCTGTCTGGGCTGCGTGTAGAGGGGTCAAGGGCCCTGAGCTGATGATGAGCCTAACCAGCCTGACTGTGCCAGGATCACCCAAACCCTCTTTGCTGCATTTTTTTTATTTTAGTCTGTACATAATGACATGTATACTGATAATAATAATGCATGTTAACAGCGCTACATTTATTTTACCCCGGTGAAAGGATCAGTGCACTCGAATCTCATTCTCAGCTTTCTGGGGAATATAGAACCGAAGCTGCCCTATGATCCACTTGAAGGGTAACAGTCGCATTACCATCTCGCCCTACCTGACCCCGGTCAAAGGATCAGTGCACTCGAATCTCATTCCCAGCTTTCTGGGGAATAAAGAACCGAAGCTGCCTTATGATCAACTAGAAGGGTAACAGTCGCATTACCATCTCGCCCTACCTGACCCCGGTCAAAGGATCAGTGCACTCGAATCTCATTCCCAGCTTTCTTGGGAATATAGAACCGAAGCTGCCTTATGATCAACTAGAAGGGTAACAGTCGCATCACCATCTCGCCCTCCCGGTACCCATTCCTTGATGGGTGAAAGAGAAACATATTGCTTCCGTTTCTCTTTCTACTATTTGTCTATTGAAGAAAATGATACCTATGAAAAATTGTGAGGATTGACATCACTTTATGTTTCAGGGTAATCGTGTTGTCTTCGACAGTTTCTAGCTGTTGGACGGTAACTGATGGAAGAGTGTATATACTGGAACTCAATCAACAACCACATCGGGCAAGATCTGCCAGCGGTTGAATACTCAATTCAATTCAATTCTTTATTGTATGAAAGGCCACAGGCCCCTATACAACGGAGTTACATAACATATTTTTTAAGATACAAAGTCAAGGTAACAATTCACTTCGTAACAATAACACATGATGTATGTACAAAGCCAGATGATTTTGTGTTGGAAGCAGGACAGTAATGAAGACAATGTTATAGCATTAAGATGACCACGGCGGTAAGTACTTGTTTCTTAGATTTTCGTATATAGGGCAAATAAACATAAAATGGTGTTCATCTTCGACAACAATGTCACAGAATTGGCATAACCTTAGGGATTTCTCAATAGATGAAAATCTCCCTGTGTTAATTTTTGGATCAAGTCTAAAACAAATAATGATGTTAGGTCAATATTTATTTATTAAAACATTAACAGCAAAACTAAGGGCAAATCCTATGCACAAAGGAAATTATTTGATCTATTTTCGAGAATTGCGTTTTAAAAATGAAATAAAAAATGGGTTACCATGCTTGTTCAAAATGTCGTTAAAAAGTAACATTTATTTAACATTATCCAACTTATTGATCAATACAAAATCTGCATCTATTTTTACCACAAATAATCTTTGATTTTTGCATTCAGCGGACCGATTTTAAATAATAATTGATGGGTTTTTTTCAAAATTTAAATGTACATTTACACGTTTTATGTTTAAAAAGGGGCACCGGTCGTCGAAGGCGCCGCGACTCGCTGTGCAGAGTTGCGTCCCTTTGGCACGCCAGAAATCGATGATTGTGTTTTCGAATCATCGTTCATCCCGATTATGTTTCTAGGTTTGTCAGCACCACACCCGTGCTCGTGGGACGGCTAAAGGTCCAAGTTAGTCGGGATGATAGCTGCTGCTCCCAGTTACCTTCTCATAGTAACACCATCCCCCCCAAAAAACAAGGAGATGCCTAAAGGACCAGTCAGTCGGAATGAAAGCCACTTCTCTCAGGGATCTTCTCATAGTAACACCACCCCAGGTAGATGTCTAAACGTACAAGTCAGTCGAAATAATAGCCACTTCTCCCAGTGACGTTTTAATAGTATCACCATCCCACTGGGATTGATGAGGTTCCAGTCAGTTGTTTTTGTGTGGAAATGGCCATGGGTTTGAGTCATACGCTGAATAAGACATAACCTGGTTTGTTTTATTTTTTCACATCGGTTCAAAACCTCATTTCTGTTCTATCAATGTAAAAACCCATAGAACAGCATGAATGACCCTCCGGTGTGAAGTGTGTTTGAAAGGTAACAGTTGAATACAGTTTATTTTTCTTCAATCATACTTTGTATATTTGTTATATAATTTCCGGCAAGGGTGGAAACTGAACTTTTAAAGTCAGTTAACGCCCTTGCCTCTGGAAGATGTAAAGTAACCATGTACTTAAGTTTAAATCTTGCCTTGGGAAAATGTTACTTTATGAAAGATGTGAATTCGACAGTGTAACAAGTAATTCATGTATTCAGTTAAGTTTGTGTTAACGCTAGGTAAGGGTAATGTTTTTCCCTTCTCGCTCGTGTTTTACAGACATACTACCGACCACAAATAGGGGAACTTATGAAGTGATAGTGAAGCTCTAATAACTAAAAATGTCTGTAAAAATAATTTAGGGCGTGTAAATGAATATCTGGTGTCCAACATTGGGCGATACATGCACGACACTTTACATGCATGACATACTTTAGATTAACTTGCGTGTATTGGCTAAGATTCCGCCTGAAGAGCTACCTCAAGCTGGTCCACGTTGGCGAGTGCTGGACCTCTGGAGTAAACTCTCGGTCTAAGAATATCCAAAACTGCTCTATTAGGGACATTGGGATATAGCGGGGCAGTCCAATTACGATGAGTTATCATTGGAGAGAATCGGTGACCACCTGAGCAGGGTGCGGTCTGGCATTCCCATCTTACATTTAAAAAATTCTGCCGATAATTCAAGCTAATGGAGTGAGTGAGTATGGTTTTACGCCGCTTTTAGCAATATTCCAGCAATATCACGGCGGGGGACACCAGAAATGGGCTTCACACATTGTACCCATGTCGGGAATCGAACCCGGGTCTTCGGCGTGACGAGCGAACGCTTTAACCACTAGGCTACCCGACCGCCCCTCAAGCTATTGGAACAACGACTGTACGCAAAATGTCAACATTTTGCTATCAATTAAAATGTCCATCCACAAGTGACAAATCGGTTCACTTTTCATGTGTGACACTGCACCAAACTAATTATCCACCGTCTCCATGCAGATCATGGTCAAGAATTATTGCCCTGGTATACCGCTTACCGCAAACAAAGTTCTGCAATCTGAGTCTGTGGCAAAACCTTGGTTCGTCTGTAAGCATGGCGCACAGCCCGTCTCCGGTGTTGCCTGGACCACCCCAATCTTTGTCGCCTATTGTAAACTGTTAGGAAATTCGCCTTGCTCTTATAGTACGGATTTCTTCTCTATTGATGACATGAGCAGAATTGTATAAATTATTCAATTGTCTTTCTATATTTCATGTATTTATTTATTTTTTTTTTAAATTGTTATATGTCATGTACTGCTGTTGTGTGTCTCGCATTCATTGGTATATTCACAGTAATAAGGCGAGAGGCCGAAGCACATATACATATAAAAGGTAGGTTTACATTGTGACAGGAGACAAATGTAACATGATATTACTGTGTCTCGCATTCGTTCATATTGTGAACACAACAGCACTGGCGGGAATTCCTTGATTGACATCCTCTTGTTATTTGGGAATAATCAGGTTACCATACACGTGTCAACCATTGAGTATACCCGCCACCCCCTCATTGCAACCCGCTAGACGTTACCCGTCCCACAGTCGAAAAATTACACTTGATTTGCCAAACATTCGTGAAACTGGAGATATTGACGTCCACCCCTATATCGTACCCACAATTCGCCATTTTGTCCTTTCATTGAGATACTGTCTCAGAGTCAGGGGACTTAAACCAACCCTGAATCCTAACGGTTTGCCAATATGATGTGAGTGAGTGAGTGAGTTGGGTTTTACGCCGCTTTTAACAGTATTCCAGTTATATCGCGGCGTGTCAGCTTAATGTTAGAGGAAAGCCCAAATTGATGCAGGTGTCAGACGTTTACCACTTCGGTGAAACCAAAAAGCACGGGTATGGTGCTGACAAACCTAGAAACATAATCGGGGCGAACCGGGATTCGAACCCACAATCATAGGTTTCTGGCGTGCCCTAGGGACGCAATTCTGCACCTTAGACGACTGCCCCCTGTAGGATTTGAAAGAAAATATGTACTTTGGTTGTAAAATATTATCTTGGAGAGATTGGGGTCATTTTAACCGTATCACATAATCATGAACCATCGACGACAACCCACACACAATGAATGAAAAACTACAGTTTAAAGTATTCCTAAGCAATATTACAGTACCACTCTGGTCGGTACGATGTTTGAAATTGATATCGGTACAGTAGGATTGAATCCCTTGTGTAAGGTTCCTAAAATACTTGTCGCGAGAGTGTGTGTAAGTTGGACTTTACCCTACTTTTACCGATATTCCAGCAGTAGCTCGGCGGGGTACAAGAGAAATGGGCTGTACACCTGCAGCAAGACTGACCCAAAATGGTGATTGTAGATGACAGTGATTTAGCTGATTGCAAGACATCGTATTGTGATGGCGAGGGTCGTGGCAAGATCACCCCATCAGCCATAAAGTTGATGTGTCTAAATGCGAATGTTTACAGGACGCAGTAATGTAGACGTAAACCAACAAACAGATGGAGTGATTGACATTCACCTCCTTGTGTAGTGTCGTCAATACCACACCCTTTCCATATAATCCATCAAAAAGTTCTCCTCAAAAGCGACACTCAAATATATAACACGACAAGACATTGGAGCTACACATGTACCTTAAGTGGACATTAAACGCCCACGTGACCATACTGATCATATGACCAGACAGAATAAAACATGAATATATTGTCACTGAGATAGTTTAATGTTGCAATTAAACGAAATAAGAGGTCTTCCATCAACACTGAATCCGTCTCACATCTCGCCACAGAGAACCCAGAGAACACGGTTCCACTTCCGTTAGGAGGAGATGAGGGAATGACGGATCCATTTGGGACAGTATCGTATTTGTAATCAAATCATTTTTCTATTTTACACTGAGGCACGTCACACTTTCCCCAGCGTTCGTCTACATTCATGGTGTAACACCACAAATACTTGCCGTTTGATGGGTCACGGCAGAAGTTAGCAGATCCGTTGAGAGTTTGGGGCGTATCAAAGCCTGGGATAGTGAACACGGTGTCTGTTGCGTAGCTGTGAGAGTGTGGCTTCATAGCATCCCATCGCTGGCAGGTGTTGCCGGATGTTGTTGTTGATTGAGTTCCAGTATACAACGCCCTTCCTTGAGATACCGTCCAACAACCAGATACTGCCAAGGACAACATGATCAAATTCGTCAATAACCTGATAAACTGGCACAATTCTTTTCCATGGTTTTTCAGACAAATATTATTTATTAAAAAAAACGGTTGCAACATTCGCCTCTTTTCATGCACTGTCGCTTCGGTTGTATCTTCCCCAGGGAGTGCACTGATCAGTAGACCTCGGTAGACATAAATGAGCAGTGAACACGGTGTAGTAGTAGTAGTGGTGGTGGTGGTAGTAGTAGTAGTAGTAGTAGTAGTAGTGGTAGTAGTAGTAGTAGTAGTAGTAGTAGTAGTAGTAGTAGTAGTAGTTACAGATTAAAATCTTAAATGCAGACTTCTCTCAGGAAGCGCTGCCTTGTCGAACCCACCCAGAACCTTTCGAAGAATGTGGACACTGCAGCCTTCTACATTACCCAGATTGCCAGAAGGGTTGTGTTGCGTTGGGGAGGTACCACACATTAGGCACCAAGAACAATGGGGAGTCGGATAACTTGGTACTTGGGATGCAAGCATGACATTTCGAAAGCGAGGTCTGCATACTTGCCATGTTTTTCCTGAATGTTGTCAATGAGTTTTATATGTATATGGCACCTTCTACATATTCTGGGGCGTAATCGATGGACGTCTGTGTCGAAACCACAAGCATGTCTACGACAGCAATACAAGGATTGAACCACTCCATCATGACGCTTAAGATACCGTGTTTTTGTCAAAGCTCGGCATCCATTGACGTTTGGACATTACGTTCATTGCAAAATCTACATTTTATTTTCATTTCAATGCAAAACCACACACTGATGGTTTCGAGTGGGAACTGACTGGTCCTGAGCAGCAAACAGAATGCTCACTTTTCAGCCAAGCCGACTTCATCGAAGTGAAAGGCTCTGCAGGGTTTCTGATCCTCTCAACAGGATGAACATAAACTCGATGCAGTGGTCATTCAGGAAAAAATGTAAACTACGGCTCGCCGAAAAAGGGGAGTCCTGGGCTATTCAAATACATTTTTCTCTGTTCAAATACTTCAAATTTCTCCCTGCAAGGACGTCATTAGAAGTTGATTCCTGATATTTTCTATATATTTTTTTTAAACATAAATCGAATTAAGGGTAATTTGCAATCGGGATATTGACCAGAACTGGGCAGGGGAGATCAGTCTGCAATAGCTCATACTTTCAACAAAGTGCCAGTTTTCATATATGCATTGAGGTAGTTTATATCCTTACTGTTGGCACACTTCAGGCTGACCTTCGTCCACAGCCCGTCTTCCTTGCAGTAGCTCGTCACCATCTCACCAAGAGAGAGTTTAAGGAAACCCTTTTTGCATCTGTACTGCGCGATATCATGTATCTTGGTTGAATTGCAGTCAACGTCTGTGCCTTCTAAAGGTGTCGGTGAGCCACAATCTCCATTCAGCATAGACGCCAGGTTGGCTGTAATGAAAATGTAAAGAAATAAACACGATGTTTTGACATAGCAATATCTGAGGGAAGCAGTGACCGAGCTAGTAAAAACCAGGGTGTTCCCCTGAAGTTATTCTGCCCGGTCCCTGCTGACGAGGAGCGTGTTTTCTGAAACATATGAAACGTCCCAAAAACATTACCGTATTCGACATAATAAGCGCCCAGGGCGCTCTCAAACTTAGAAATAGTCGGCTCATATTAGAATATAATTTTGGTGAAAAAAACAAAGATGGAAGATAAATTTCGTGGTTTATGCTGACAGTCTGAAATTTTCATATAAGACATATTTATTCTTCCAGAATTTAATTGCCCATAATTAAGGGTGCATATAACAGACGAGTCCTTATTATACGCGAATAAATAAGTCTAGTGTACATGATCAATCGGAAGGGGTGCTAATTGGGATTGTTCACTCGCCAATATATTAGCAAATATCGCCGTGGGCGCTTATTAGAGCGGGGCGCTTATTACATCGAATACGGTAATTAATAGTTGATTAATATACCATTCTGGGCCTGTGGCCTTACATTACTATAAAATCTACGTCAATGTCTATGTCTAAAACAAGTCGGAGATCATGGAATATCAATGTTACTACCAAGAATTAGAACAAAGATAAGTGTTGACAACAAATATCCTATGCAGGAACATTTACGTTTGTAACTCTTTACATCAAGACACACATCCTATAAGTTGCTTGTTCCTACAGCAGTAGCGGTTGGTTGGTTGGTTGTTGTTTAACGCCGCACTCAGCAATATTGCAGCTATATGGCGGCGGTCTGTAACTAATCGAGTCTGGACGTGCATGGGGTGTCATTCATGACGTGTACACAGAAGGTCGAGTAATCTCTGTAATCTGCTCATCAAAATACTGTGATTTACTTGGTTTCATTCATTGCTTGTATGTGAACTATTGATGCGGCGTGTGCGCGGAACGTTCACGGCTATTGGCATGCTGGAGTCTGGAAGAAGTCAGCGTGCAGTGGCCATTACCACAATATTCAACAGTCTGTGATCAGGAGACTATGGAACAGATACCAACAAACCCAACATGTTGACGATTGACAGCGTTCAGGGTGTGCCAATTCAACGATAAGTGTACAGGATCGATTTATCCAAAGTCCGCCTCTCGGAAAACGAGCACGCATTAAATTCTTGCAAACTTTCATCAGGCTACTGGAGTACGAGTTACGATTAGAAATCGACTATAATAATCAAGAAGAATCATCGGATCCTGGCGATATTGAGAGGTGCAGCTAAAAAAAGGTCATTAGACGACTTAGCCACTTGAGTATTTGAAACATGAAAATTGCACCAGCAGCAAAACAAATGTACACTACACAATGGAAGTAAATTACCCCGTCGTGATTTTAATTAGAGTGAGTGTATTAGGTTAATGCCGCTTTGAACAATATTACAGTTTCAGCTTGAATTTGGAGGAAAGACCGAAGTGTTGCAGACGTTTACCACTTAGGTGAAACCCACGAGCACGGGTACGATACGGACAAACTTAGAAACATAATCAGGGCGAACCGGCATTCGGGCCAACAATCATAGGTTCCTGGCGGCCCGATGGACGACATTCTGCACAGAGACTTGCGGCGTCTGGGCCGTTAGACGACTGGGCCTCCCGTGACCCCGATTTTTATTAGAATGGGTACACAGGTACACAGGTACACAGGTACACAGGTGTATGTATATGCATGACTTACGTGGCGACCCGTGAAGATCCGGGGTAGAATACGTCTTAAGCAACCCATGCTTACCGTAAAAGATGACTATGCTTGTCGTAAGAGGCGTGTAACGGTATCGGTAGTCAGGCTAGCTGACTAGGTTGATGCATGTCATCGATCCCAATTGCGTGGATCGATGCTCATGATGACAATCACTTGATTGTCTGGCCCAGACTCGATTATTTACAGACCCCGCCATATAGCTTGAATATTGCTGAGCGCGGCGTTAAACAACAAACAAACAAACAAATTTTCATGGATAGGGCATGATGGCTCGAAAACGTGATAACGTCTTTTCGTACCCGACGGCGTGATACGTTTCTCGTAATATTATCCTAAAGTCTGATCCGGACTCGATCATTTTCCGTCTCCGTGATGGGGCTGGCATATTGCTGAGTGTTCCGTTCTCGACGCAGGTAAAGCATTGCACTAACCTTGTGTGTTGTATGTGACTCATGCACCTCTGCCAGTCGTCCACTACAGGCATGGATGTTTTCAAACGAGATAGCGAGCGATGGTGGTATTACGCAATACTCAGCTGCACCATTGTTTTACACATTATGCGAGACTGGTCACCTCGGAGTCAGTGTGATGCGTATGTGTGGGGTACCGGTGTTAAACTGCAGCATGTTATGTCACCTGCTTTGAGTGAGTGAGTGAGTGAGTGAGTTAGTTGGGTTTAACGCCGCTTTTAACAGAATTTCAGTTATATCACGGCGTGTCATCTTAATGTGGGCCTCGGACGTTTACCCTCGAGCACGGGTATGGTGCTGATCATGACAAACCTAGCAACATAATCGGGGCGAAGCGTAATTCAATCCCCCCCCCCCCCCCCCCCCCCCCCCCCCTAGGTTTCTGGCGTGCCCTAGGGACGTTCATGTAACTTTGCACAGCGAATCGGCAGTAGAGATATGTGGAGCATTGTAAAGCATTTGTGTTCATCACGAAACGTCAAACGCATATTCAAAAGACATTTTGAAGTATGTCATGTTCTTGGCTATGGCAAACCAAAGATCAAAGAAAGAATTGTGTACATACGCGAATATCAGATATGAGATTGTCATCCAAGGAGTGTGAAACGAACTGTGAAGTGAGTGGAATGGCTTTTGTTCTATTTTGAGCATAGAAAACATCAGATCTTGACACGACCTTGGTATGCAGCTGTGCACGTCAAATTGCATGCAATTTGTCCCTTATCATAAAGTAAAATAACATATTATGTCTATAATGGCTCAACTTTGCTTCCCACTACAAAGTAAGGTGAGTCGAGGTGAAATCGGGTTTAAAGTCGCGTCCAAGATTATCGCAATTATATAACGACGTGCATGCACGTGTGTGTGTGTTTGTGTAGCTGCTTGTACTAGTCCGGGCATATGTCGATTTATAATCCTAGCTCACTGAGATACCATGCCGCAGTTTAACATGAATACCCCACTCAGACACAGTATACTGACACCGAGCCGACCAGTCCTTGTTTTATTCCCTTAATGCCGAGCGCCAGACAGGGTAATAACAAGTACCATACTTTAACGTGCTTTGTTATGACACAGCCGGGGATCGAACCCCGGACCTTCCGCTCTCGGCGACTGGACGCTCTACCACTAGACCACGGAGGGGGCAGACTACAAATTGAGAATGAACACTAATGAATGACAGAATAAAAGTTAAGCTGGCGAATGAAGTGGAAATAATATCTTCTTTACATTACACGAGCTTCAATGAAACAAACACTGACACAAACATAGTTGCGTTTTGCATACATGTGTACCTTGAATGCAGTATTTAATATTGTCCTAAAACTAAATAACATTTCACAAAATGTAGACAATTAACAACGCAATTTTGTGCATCTGTACTGCTGCACATATGTCTACATATTGTTCTCCAGAAAAAAATGTTCTGCGTATGGTAAAGCTGAGTATATCCAAACTTTGTGTTACGCCGCATTTAGCAATATTCCAATACTATGGCATTGAGGGGACGACAGCAATCGGCTTCACACATAGTACCCGTATAAAGAATCGTACCCGATTCTCTTTGTGGCCATCCCTTGGGCACACCAGAAACCTATGATTGTGGGTTTGAATCCCGGTTCGCCCCGATTATGCTTCTAGGTTCGTCAGCACCAAACCCGTGCTCGTGAGACCTGCATTTCCTCCCACATTAAGCTGACACGCCGCGATATAACTGGAATACTGTTAAAAGCGGCGTTAAACCCAACTCACTCACTCATAAAGGGACAACAAAGGGCGTCAATGTTGTCCCAATAGTGCTGTCCATTTACCCTTCCTCGAAAAGTCTGTCACGAAGTCTTATTATGGTATTGACTCTGTCAGACGGGGCAATGACAAACACGTTACACAATTTTTATTTTCAGCATCTTTTTCGTTTGTATGTTGCTTAACTCCGCATTCCAATATTCCAGCTATTGGACGGCCGTCTGAACATAATCGAATCTGGACCAGGCAATCCAGTGATTGACATCATGAGAATCAATCTACGCAATTGGGATGCACCGACCAAGTCAGCGAGCCTGACCACCCGATTTTAATATGTATCATATCGGAATGTCCTTGACACAAGAAGTAAAACATCTCACCCCAAATATACCTTTGTCTAGAAATTCACCTGGGCACGCGTCCTTCTCATCACAGCTTGTCTAAACTACCTATCTTTAACGTTGTCACAAACATGCGTGAGACATGCAACTGGAATGCCTACGGATCAATCGTATATTACTTATATGGACCAACTTGTCTGGAGATTAGGAGGTAAGAGAACATGAGGAACACCAACTCTTAAAAAATGCAGATGCAGCGGTAGCTGAGTGGGGAAGCATCTTCCCGAGCCAAGGGAATTAACTGACTTTAAAAGTCCAGTTTCCACCCTTGCCGAACTAGGCTGGCATTATGGAGTTAAGAGTTTGGCTGGATTGACGAGTCTGTGCATAGTCCAATCAAAATCGTGCACCGAAATCGAATTCCGGTTCGTAAACTGTCGTGCAGAGTTTGGTCGATTGCAGGATTTGCAAAGCATGTGCACCGCCAACTCGTTGTCAACAGATATTTTCCAAATCTTTTCCCGTTTTTAATCAAGGGCTCACATGATTTGATGCACTTCGTGATGTAAGACCCGTTTTATCACAATATAGATTTTGATTGTTGATCAGATCGTCTTGTCTAGGCGCCGCCATTTTGTTTGAAGCAAATGGAAGTGATACGAGAGGTGGAATCTGATTGGTATAGGGCATAGAAGGGACATTACTCGTTACAGCCACTGGTGGCGCTACGATAGAGCCCAGGAATTCCAGCCGAGTTCGGCAAGGGTGGAAACTGGACTTTTATAGTCAATTAACTCTCTTGCATCGGGAAGATGGTGGGGAAGAGGCTGAGCGAGCGAGTTTAGAAAAGTGTTATCTCATACAAACAGTTATTATTGTCACGGCAATACGTCCATAGATTACAGATGTATTTTTCGGGTGAACGAGAGAATGTGTACATCGGTAGACGAGTAAGTGAAAGAGTGCTTGTAGGACTTATCAGATAGGTAATTGAGAATAGCTGTTCTGCTGTTATCGTAACATTGTCGATGTTCCGATTCCCATTTAAAAATAGTTCTTCTGCCAGAATAAAACTGTTTGCAAAATAATAAAAGCCGTAATGTTTCTCTTTCTACGTCAAAAGGTTCTCATTGTGTGCCACAACGTGTAAAATTACACGAGGAAGCCCTCGTCACTGTCGTCACTTTGTCACGTGACATGACGGAGTGTTATACTTTATCTGTTTTGAGCCACTAATTCAGCATCACGATGTGACAGATGGCACTGCGACAAAATGCAGGAACACCAACGACAGCCGGATGAAGGAAATGATTAACACCAGAAGATGTCTCCCATCGTTGCAGAACAAAAGCTTCAACTCACGTACGGCTTGGTTGCTTCAACAACGTGAGTATGAAGAAGCAACCGAAACGTTCGCTCCGTATCTTTGTTCCGTGACCGCATTCGTGACCAACTCGTGTTATTCCGGGACAAGCCGAATAGCGACTCGTGCCCCTCTCATGGCCATTTCTGCGACCGGGCTCCGTCTATGCGCAAACGGGCATACCTAAAACGATTGTCAACTCGTTGCGTAATGGTTCACATATATTTCCCCATATATTCTATATATTTCAGATGCAATTTAAAACACATCTGGACGTGCGGAATTATACAGTATGGTTGAGCACATTTAACTGTGTCTTGGGTATATTTTCGATGCAAGACATATGTAAAATCAAAAAATATTTCCGAGGGATTCTTTGACGAAGAACTTGAAATCATACGCGCATTCTGATTGGTTTGTCGTATTTGCGCACATAACATTCATCGACACGGAGTCTTCTTGCATGTAACGGAAAGGGAAGAGTGATGACGAATGCTGCGACCGCTGCGGATCCAAAAGGGACACGTTGTTATTGTTGTATCAATCCACTGGGATCATGTAACTTTGTCATGACTTTCTGAAGTTTTAGAAACCTTGGAGAGACCTGAGAGGATGGTGAATAATTAATATAATAAACTTCAAGTGAAGTATAAAAGCTCATTACCCACTGTTTTCTCCAGGTCACCAAGACGAACCACGGTGTTTTCACTGTCATGTGACAGGTTCTCTGGAACAAACAGGAACATATTGCATACCTGGTATAATAATTAAATGTAAATATTTAAATTCTGAACTTTTTAAAATGAAAATGGCAAAACGCTTTCCATAACCATACGTACTCAGTCGACAGTAATTATTGTTACGGCAATATGTCCATAGATTACAGGTGTATTTATTTATTTATTTATAAACTTATTAAAATCAAAACGGCAAAACGCTTTCCATAATCATACGAAGTCGCTCCTCGGGACCATTATGCAATTCCGACTATATCATAAGCATAAATCACTTTAGAATAGACATGATACCAGGTGTTCACAAAAAGGTGAACTTTTCCTAATCCACAACAGCCACACGGAGAAGCAGGTCAAATGTTCACCTGATAAAACACGGGAACATGTTGTACAAGTCAAAATAATTAATTGCATGCATCTAACATTTGGAAATGTCTTCCATAAAACCTTTTGTGGAGCTTTACCGAGGGCTTGAAGGATGTAACCCTGATGAAATAACATTTGAGCAAGTCCAACTCAAAAAGGCTTATTCTGTAACCCGGTTGACAAACCGTATCCGACTGTACATATATACTGACTGACTGACTAGCACTGTTCAAAAACTGTCTGTTTCCCTGCACACCGTCCTCACACACAACAAACCCCTACCCACCCTCTCACGCTCTGGTCATGTGACTCCCCCGCTCCACGATCAAATGATCACTGGGTCAAACTTGACCATATGACCGCTACAAGTCTTGTGGCGCTTTTTTTTACATCCAGTAGCCTCTGTTCGAAGCGACTTTATACCACATCCCCCCCTCACATCAACACTCATTTAATGTTTGTAGAAAAAGCGTGATCTGAATCTTTAAGCATAGATCTGAACATGAAACAGGTGAGGCTGTTTCATTGGACTCTTTTATTTCTGCCTGCAGTAATTAATAATATTGTTCATGAGAATGACTATGACAGGGCAGGTTGATTTAAAATGTATTCTTTTAATGTTCTCAACTAGTTTTAAAATCGAAACTGTGATACTCTAGTTATTTTACTGTCCTTCGCTGACAGATATTTATTCCATTCAAATCTATGTATTATATGTCAGTTCTCGTCACGATATTGCTGAAATACTGCCGATGTGACGTAAAATCATAACTCACTCACTCACTAAAGTCTATTAGAGTACAAAACTAAAATTACACCTCCGATTTTCCTCGCATACTGATGTACAGTGCAAATATATCTATTGGGAACCCAAAATATCACCATTGCTTGTGTAAAGAGCCAAGAACATTGATAGGCCAACATTTAAAAAAAATTCGAATACTTGTTGGTGAGGTGAGGTGAAGCCAGGCGGGGTAAAAACAAGTACCGTCTATTTGAGAAAAGACCGCTCACCAAATTTCTTCTCGAGAACATTAGCACGCCTGTCAGCAGCCACTTGGTGAGAGGACGTGTTTTCTGAAAATATTATTTCCGATGCAGTTAAACAATAGTTATACTTATGGTTACTGCCCATGGCGATTCCGGATTCGATTCCCCCGTAACCTATGCTTGTCGTCAGAAGAGGCAACTTAGTGGTTAGAAGCTAAGCCTGCACTAAGAAGAGATTCAAGAGAATAGTGTTACCGGTCTACTTCCAAATTGAAACAATATCATAACGTAAAATAATTCAGTGTGAAATCAACAAACAGCAAATAAATGGTGTTTAATTGTATTTTAAAATGAACTAGGTTAACAAATCAATACACATTACTTCACATCAAGTACAAAGGCAGTATACAATAGAGTGGAGTATAAACAGTATACGGGCAGTATAAAATCTAATAGAAGTGGTAATAATCACCTAGCAGCAACAGTGGTCAAGCTTCCAAAATGGCATAGGCTGTATATAATGAGTGACAACAATGATCTTCACAAATCCGCTGGTCTTGATGTAATGTAAAATTATAGAGGCACGCACTGATATAGTGTAAACCCCTTCTAGAAGGTACTATAAGGACTGGATTAGTCTAACTGTTCTAGAAGATTCCTGATTGCATTTGATTCCAAAAGTATCTAAATACAGTAACTTCCACAACACTGCTTACAATAGATAGTGCTACATGTACATTCGCGAAAACTAATTGTCACAAAACAATTCTACTGAATCATAACAATTGCAATTAACAGTGTTTAACAATACATAATACTACCATTTAACAATAGTAAATAATAAATATCAGTAAAAAATCAGGTTAAAAACAACAACATGCATTTAATTTACCATTTGCTGTCTCCAGTTCACCAAGACGAACCTCTTTGTTTTCATTGTCATTTAGCAGATTCCCTGGAACAAAAGACATCACATTTTATGCCCGGTATTATATGTAATTATAGATATTTGCATCCTGGACTTAAACTCTTTCCATAATTATTAGAAGTCGCTCCTCAAAAAAGAGACCATGTACAATCCTGGCAATGTCATGAGCATGTATGTATGCTTCGCTGTAAAGTAAGGATGACACCTCGTGTTCATGAACCTAACCCGCAACAGAAGCACGAAGAAGCATGTCAAATATTCACCTGATGAAGCACTGGAACATATAGTACAAGAGAAAATTGCGAATTGCATCGGACATCACCGATGCGTCAAAATTTTGGAAATGTCCACCATTTGGGTACCATATTTATTTTTAGAAAGATGTTCTGAGGGCTTGGGTTATGTGATCCTCATCAAACAACTTTTGTGGCAGAGTTTTACGACGCTTGTTTATAACGCATATGGTCGGGAGCGTAGGGTCAACGGTTGGATCCCCGTAATGTTATAGCGAAAAACTTTATAAGATGGTACTTATTGCTGTCCTGGCAGGCCTTCAGCGTTAAGGGATAAAAAGGCTGTTTGGCTCACAGTCAGTATAATGTGTCTGCGTTTGATACCTTGTTAAAATTGTGGCACGATATTTCGGACGATCAGCACTTAAAACAGGTTTTAATCCGGGCTAGTATTAGCGGACAACGACTATAACACAATGCTATTTGAGAAAAGACCACTTACAGAATTTCTTCTCAAGATCATTAACACGCTTGTCCGTAGCCTCTAGGTATGATGACTTGTTTTCTGAAAAGATAATTTCCGATGCAGGTAAACAATAGTAATTCTAATGATTACTGCCCATGGAGATTCCGGATTCGATTTTATTCCCCGTAACCTGTGCTTGTCGTTAGCAGTTGAAACCTTTGCAAATAATAAAAATTAAGCCCGAATTAAGAAGAGATCAAAGAGAGTAGTGCTATGTGTCGTCTTCCAAATTCTTACAATAAGATAGCGCAAAATAACTCAGTGATAAATCAACAAATAACAAAAAAATGGTATATTATTTACAATTGTATTATAAAATTAATTAGAGTTACAAATCAATACAAATTACTTCATATCAATTACAAAGGCAGTACACAATAGAGTGGAGTATAAACAGTATACTGGCAGTATAAAATGTAACAGAAGTGGTTTGGATATTCACCTAGCAGCAACAGTGGTCAAGCTTCCAAAATAGGCCTAGGCTGTATATAATGAGTGACAACAATGATCTTCACAAATCCGCTGGTCTTGATGAAATGTGAAATTATAGAGGCACGCTCTTGTTCACTGATATAGTGTAAACCCTTTCTAGAAGGTACTATAGGGACTGGATTAGTTTAACTGTTCTAGAAGATTCCTGATTATATTTGACTCCAAAAGTATCTAAATACAGTAACTTCCACAACACTGATTACAATAGATAGTACTACATTCGCGACAACTAATTGTCACAACACACTTATACTGAATCATAACGGTGGCAACAGTGTTTAACAATACATAATACTACCATTTAACAATAGTAAATAATAAATATCAGTAAAAAATCAGGTTAATAAAAAACATGCATTACCATTTGCTGTCTCGAGTTCACCAAGACGAACCTCTCTGTTTTCATTATCATTTAGCAGATTCCCTGGAACAAAAGGCATCACATTTTATGCCCGGTATTATATGTAATTATAATTACTAGCATTCGTACTTTTCTTAAATATAATGACAAAACTATTTCCATAATTATTAGAAGTCGCTCCTCAAAAAAGAGACCATGTACAATCCTGGCAATGTCATGAGCATGTCTGAAACCATCGCTGTAAAGTAAGGATGACATCTCGTATTCATGAACCTAAACCGCAACAGCAGCACGGAGAAGCATGTCAATTGCTCACCCCATGGAGCACGGGAACACATGGTACAAGTGAAAATTGCGAATTGCATCGGACATCACCGATGCGCAAACGTTTGGAAATGTCCACCATATGGGTACCATATTTATTTTTAGAAAGATGTTCTGAGGGCTTGGATGATGTGATCCTTATAAAACAACTCCAGTTCAGGCAGAGTTTTACGACGCTTTTTGACATCTTGTTTATAACGCATATGGTCGGGGAGCGTAAGGTCGACGGTTGGATTCCCATACATGTTATAACGAACCTTCCGTTCTCTGATCAGACGTCATATCTACTACAATACTGAAGCGATCCTAGGACATTTCAAACGAATATAACACAATGGTGTTTGCGAAAAGACCGCTTACCGAATTTGTTCTCGAGATCATTAACACGCTTGTCAGTAGCCTCTAGATATGATGACTTGCTTTCTGAAAATATAATTTCCGATGCAGATAAACAATTGAAATACTAATGGTTACTGCCCATGGCGATTCCGAATTCCATTTGATTCCCCGTAACCTGTGCTTGTCGTCAGCATGCAGTGGCAACTTTGCCGATAACTACAATAAAGCCCGCATTTAGAAGAGATCAAAGAGAAAAGTGCTATGTGTCGTCTTCAAAATTCAAATAATAAGATAAAGTAAAATAAGTCAGTGTGAAATCAACAAATATCAAAGAAACGGTATACAATTTATAATTGTGTTACAAAAATTACTAGATTACAAATCAATACACATTACTTCACATCAATTACAGAGGCAGTACACAATAGAGTGGCAGTACGGTTTTCAATGGCAGTGTAAAATATAAAAGCAGTGGTAATAATATTCACCTAGCAGCAACTGAGTGGCAACAATGATCGTCACAAATCCGCTGGTCTTGATGTAATTTGAGAGGGAACCCTTGTTCACTTATATAGTGTAAACCCCTTTTAGACGGTACTATACAGGGATGGATTTGTCTCGGTGTTCTAGAAGACTCCAGATTTCACTCCAAAAGTATCTAAATATAGTAACTTCCACACCACTGCTTACAATATATATTATTAGTACTACATTCGCGACAACTAATTGTCACGACACAGTCCTACTAAATCTAAACAGAAACAACGTAATACAATTGCAACAGTGTTTAACAATACATAATACTACCATTTAGCAACAGTATATAATAATTATCAGTAAAAAAGCCAGTTAATAAAAAACAGGCATTACTCTTTGCTGTCTCCAGTTCACCGAGACGAACCTCTTTGTTTTCATTGTCATTTAGCAGATTCTCTGGAACAAAAGAGAACATATTGCATACCATGACAAGTGCTCACCTGATGAAGCTCACCGATGCATAAAACTTTTGGAAATGTCCCCCACCTCGGTACCATATTTATTTTTATAAAGACGTTCTAAGGGCTTGAATGATGTATCCATTATGAAACATCTTTTGTGGCAGAGTTGTATGACGCTTTTTTGTAATCTTGTGGATAAAGCATATTTAGGTTCGGAGAGCATCCCCGTACACGTTTTTACGAAAAACGTTATAAGATGGTACTTATTGCTGCCCTGGTAGGACTTAAGGGGATACAAAAGGTTATTTGGCGCATAGTTACTACACTGTGTCTGAGTGTTAAAAATGTGGCATGGTATATCAGAGGACCAGCACTTTAAAACCGGTTTTAATCCGCACTAGTATAAGCACATACACACATGCACGTAGCACACACACACTCACGCACGCACCCACGCACGCACGCACGCACACACAAGCTCACGCACCCATGCTCACACACACAATCACGCACGCACGCACACAAACACACACGGGACGAGCATGTGTTCATGAATCACTATCAAATGGAGATGATATCAGGTGTTCGTGAAACGGTCAGCGTACCGTGCTCGACCGGTCGCACCCGTCCCAAACACATGCAAAGGCAAATCAGTTTTCCACCTTAATAAACCACGGGAACATATTATGCATGACAATTGAGGGAATTGCATCAGACGACATTTTTGTCACTGGTACGTCAAATTTTGAAAAGTCCTCAACGTGTTGGTTGGTTAGTTTGTTGTTTAACGCCGCTGTCAGCAATATTCCAGCTATATGACGGCGGTCTGTAAACAATCGAGTCTGAAACAGACAATCCAGTGATTAATATCATGAGCATCGATCCACGCAATTGGGATCGATGACATGCATCAACCAAGTCAGCGAGCCTGACCACCCGATCCCATTAGTCGCCTCTTACGACAAGCATGGGTTGCTGAAGACCTATTCTGACCCGGATCTTCACGGATGCCTCAACATGTCGACCATGAGCAAGACCTCTTTGAACTCTTGATAGAAAGAGCATGTCCATGTCTCAGAATGTAAACGCCAAAGACTGAAGCTGCTGGAACATTGCTCGACATGGAAGGAAAGTTCAGTATTGGAATGTCGAAGTCATCCCTCTTGTCATACAGTCTTGTTGAGAGTGAATGTCACTCTGAATAATTATAAAATTATCTAAATAGGGATCAAATGAGGCGGTCTGACTGCTCTTTATTCCTAGTTCAGGTGGGTAAATCAGTGGAAACGAATTGGCTATTTGAATGTTATTGAACAATATCAGATCATCAATATACCAAAAATGTAAACATTATCTTGGATAAACATTAATTATCTATATCTATATAACCTCCATATTCCACATTTCTGTACATCACTTGCATAATAACGGTGTACGTTTCTACACCGAATCGGTGCACCCATTGTAATAAAGACGCTGCATATCTAAAGATACCCCTTGTTCATCATATACCAACTTCTGAACGCCACGTAACCAAGCTGTGGTTAAGTTCATTGATGAATTCACATTTTATATCCATTTTAATAATAATGATTATGGCCTGATAGTTTAACAGTTCTTTAAGTGTGTAGTTTACTAAATGCATTAAAGGACCGATCGGTACTTGTTTATGCGAGTTAACGCCCGTAAAGGTAAGAAATAAAATTATACCGCGGATTTTACTTTCATACTCATGTAAAATGTTCTAAAAGGAAATAGGGAATAAAGATACACAAATATTTCACATAGATTGTGTAAAGAGCCAAAACATTGTCAGGATAACTGAAATTATGAATATTTTGTTGGTGAGGTGATGTGAAGGCCAGGCCAGGTAACAACAAGTACCATCTTTCGTTTGTCGTGGCCTGAGGATTGAACCAAACGAATTTCCGATCAGATGTTATATCTACTTTAAAACTGAAACGATCTTGGAACAGTATGATCGAATATGACGTGATGCTATTTGATAAAAGACCAGTTACCGACTTTCCTCTCGAGATCATTTACACGTTTGTCAGTATCCTCTTGGTATGGTGAGTTGCTTTCTGAAAAGATAATTTGCGATGTAGTTAAATAAACAACAATAATACCATCGATTATTGTCCATGGAGATTCTGGATTAGATTTGATCCCCCTACCTATAATTGTCGTCAACAGAAGCAACTATGTAGATCAACAATCAGGCCTGCACTCAAAATAAATTTAAGATGATAGTAAATAAATATCAGTTATAAACGATTTAACTAAAAGAAATACATTACCCTTTGCCGTCTCCAGGTTACCAAGACGAACCTCTTTGTTTCCATTGCCATTTAACAGGTTCTCTGGAACTAAAAGGAACATATTGCATACCTGGTACGTTGTAAATATTTCCATTCTGAACTTTGTCAAATTAAATGACAAAAGTCATTCCGTAATCATCAGAACTCGCTCTTCAAACTAGAGGCCATTGTACAACTCCTTTTGTGTTTACAGCAAGTGTTTATGATAGCAGGTGTGTGCGAAAAGGTGACCTAGCCTAACCCCCAATAACCACATGAAGAAGCAGGCCAAGTCTTCACCTAATCAAAGGTGAGGTGAGTCGAAATGGGGTTTAACGTCGCGTGCAAGATTATTGCACTTATATAGCGACGTGCATGCACGTGTGTGTGTGTGGCTGCTTGTACTAGTCCGGACTGAGGCCGATTTATAGTGCTTTGACACTGTGATACCATGCCGCAGTTTAACATGGATACCCCACTCAGACACAGTATACTGACTCCGAGCCGACCAGTCCTTGTTTTAGCCCCTTAATGCCGAGCGGCAGACAGGGTAATAACAAGTACAATACTTTATCGTCTTTTGGTATGACATGGCCGGGGATCGAACCCCGGACCTTCCGCTCTCCGGGCGGACTCTCTACCACTAGACCACGGAGGCGGTCGCACCTAATCAAAGACGGGAACACATGTCTCAAGGTTTACTGAAGGCCCTCATCAAATAACTTTTGAGCAAGATTTGTATGCCGCTTTCTGACATTTAGTTGACAAATCATCTGATCAGAGAGCATACGGATGACGGTTCGATCACCATACGGGAAATGGTATACAATCATACAATCAACAACTGTATCATAAGATAAACTAGGTTTATACGTAACGTTTGGTATGGAATGGGTATTTGGCGACGATTTTGACGTTCTGGTACGTAAGCCGGACTGCTTCGATGATGATATAACAAGACTTAACGAAGGATAATATTTCGCTTACAGATGATCACGTTTTTGAACAAATGATTATGAAAGTAAAATAAAACATTATAAAAATGTTTTTACAAAGTGATCGATATTCATTGCCTTCTCCTTAAACAACCAACGTTAAGATTTGGCAGTAGGGGGATATCAAAATCCACTAGAAAACACTCCTCCTTGTTGTCCCAAAATCACTGAAGTCACAGCACAAACACTTGATCACAACAGCTTATTAAACATTATGAAATTAATTCAGCACATGCTCAAATAAGCAAACGAATCAGTGTGTCGGGGCTGCAACTGTCACATTTCCTTCACATCCTGGCGTCGAAATCTTGGAAATCACAAGGTCACAAATATGCAATCCATCCTGTCATAAAGTGCTGGCTCCCCTGCAGCCTAAAAGGCAGCTGTTCTGTCAATCTCCAGTTCCATTGGCAGGCTCATTCTCAGTAAATCAACAGGTTAATGTTAAACCATATAATAGACCGGGGTTGTCATCTCTCTTCGTGTAACTTGTCAGAAGCACGGAGACTGTAAACAACTAAAAGCTCGGAGGTTCGCACAGTTTAACCAGCGCTTTCACTCTTCAGTGAATCTATCCAAACTAACGTTCAATTCTGAATTAAATATGTTTACCAGATCACAGATTACGTGTATTAAATATGTATATGAGCTCACAGATTACATGTGTTCAATATGTATATGAGCTCACTGATAACATGTATTTAATATGTAAATGAGCTCCCAGATAACATGTATTTAATATGTATATGAGCTCCCAGATAACATGTTTTAATATGTATATGAGCTCCCAGATAACATGTATTTAATATGTATATGAGTTCACTGATAACATGTATTTAATATGTATATGAGCTCCCAGATAACATGTATTTGATATGTATTTGAGCTTACGGATAACATTTATTAAATATGTAAATGAGCTCACAGATTACATGCATTTAATATGTATATGATCTCTCAGATAACGTGTATTTAATATATACATGAGCTCACAGATAACATGTATTTAATATGCATATGAGCTCACAGATAACATGTATTTAATATGTATATGAGCTCACAGATAACATATATTTAATTTGTATATGAGCTCACAGATTACATATATTTAATATGTACATGAGTTCACAGATAACATGTATTAAATATGTATATGAGCTCACAGATAACATGTATTTGATATGTACATGAGCTCACAGATAACTTGTATTAAATATGTAAATGAGCTCACAGATTACATATATTTAATATGTACATGAGCTCGCAGATTACATGTGTTAAATATGTATATGAGCTCACAGATAATATATATTTAATATGTACATGAGCTCACAGATAACATGTATTAAATATGTAAATGAGCTCACAGATTACATATATTTAATATGTATATGAGCTCACAGATAACATGTATTAAATATGTACATAAGCTCACAGATACATGTATTTAATATGTACATGAGCTCACAGATTACGTGTATTTAATATGTATATGAGCTCACAGATAACATGCATTAAATATGTAAATGAGTTCACAGATTACATATATTTAATATGTATATGAGCTCACAGATAACATGTATTAAATATGTACATGACCTCACAGATAACATGCAATAAATATGTACACGAGCTCCCAGACAACATGTATAAAATATATACCGCTGATGGATAACACATAATTACATCAGCGAAGAGTCATTATTTACATCAGCAGGTACACATTATTCACAGAAACAAACACATAAACAATATCAGTTGCAGAAAAAATACATCAAGTAGGTTTGATGCTTCTTTGAATATCATATAACGATGTGGCAGCTTGATGTGGGAGGAAATTCCGGAGTAATGCAGGTCACATACGTTTGCCACTGGCGAACAAACCTAGAAACAAAATCTAGAATTCGAACCAATGGTCATTGGATTCTGAAACGCCTAATGGAAGGAAGAACAGCGAATTATGGCGCCATAAACGACAAGACATCAAGGAGATCATCAGAAGATGAACGTTATCAGTATTAGATACAAATTGTTAAACGGAGATCGGGCATGAAACATATCAGCAACACTTTGAATTCGCACAGAAAGGAAACAAAACATAATACATATTCAGATCTGTTACTTTTTCTTCATTTTGGTCTATTGGCGGTAAAATATCTATATATTTGTAAACTATCTCACTCGACTTATTCACAAACAATGTCAATTATATTTGATTCAAAAGGAATTGGAATTATCACTTACCATGTGATAGTGGAAAACTGTGGGCACCTATAAAACCCGAGAAATCATTCGACTTCAGCACAAATGCCTTTACTGCATTTCCAGCCATAAGTACCCAGAAACAGATAACACACACGCGACACGCGGCCATACTGCCTAAGTGTGGTGTTTTCTGAACTTAATGTATTTCATATATATGTAGGGTGTACACAATGTGTTCACAATGAGGTGTATTCGAAAAATATTACCATTGTGTAACATATAACAAAGGCTAGGCCAACATTTTCCTCGTTAAAGCTTGTAATTATATTTATTAGAAGAGCTATCCATTGTAAAACATTCAACATACTATCTGATTAGGTAATGTTGGCCTTGACAGAAAGTTGAGTTGTTTGTTCTTTTCATGTTCATTGCGTGATGGCTGTAAGGTGTAAACGTTAGATAACAATCACATTCATACTGGCATTGTTATACTTACCAAACCCAAATTAATTGCCATCGATTATTGTTGTACCTTTGTTTGTGACATAACATTTTACTCTGAAATGTCGAGACAAAATATGTCACAAGATTATTTTCCCGAAGATCCGGGAGGTCCAGTGAACGATTTTTGTTTTTTTTTGTAATACGCGAGGACATGTTATTTTTCAAGCATTTTTAGTTGACTATCCCAGGGCCGCCATAAAATCAAACGGTCATAACGCAGTGAACCAAGGACCAACAGCTACACCTTTCTCCTTGAATAGTAATGTATAGGAGACATTCGTACAAGAGTTCCTGTGATCATCTTACCTCTCTTGTATAGGAATGCCACACACAATTTGTCCTGTTTACTTGACATCAACTGTTTCAAGATTTGGATGTAACAAACAGGGACAAGCAGATGAAAATGAATTTCTTTTGGTTTCCATCTTCCCGAGGCAAGAGAGTTAACTGACTATAAAAGGCCAGTTTCCACCTTTGCCGAACTAGGCTGGAATTATGAAGTTATATTTTGGATGGACGAACGAGTCTTTGCTTAGTCCAATCAAAATCGCATTATACAATATATATCCGGGTTGTAAACTGCCGTTAAGATTTCTGTCGATTGCAGGATTACAAAGCATGGGTACCTCCAACAAGGCGTCAACTAGGCTCACGTGATCGGATTCACTTTGAGAAGTAAGATCCTTTATATTACAAAAACGAGTTTGATTATCGATAAGATGGTCTTGTCTGAGCGCCGCAATTTTGTTTGAAACAAATGCAGGTGATGCGAAAAGTGAAATCTGATTGGTCAATAGGAGGGATGTAGAAGGGACATAACTCGTAATACCTCGTACTTGAGAGGATTCATGCGATATGGATGCTGTGACACAGGCAATTTATAACTACGCCAGTACGACTGGGTTCATATTGAAACATCTCAGATCTGACAACTGCCTCTGTTGACTCGGAGTAAGATGAACTTTTCATGAAGATGGTGAACAATTCAGAAATTGTAAGCCTCTCACTCACGTCATCATACTTCATGTTCCTTGTAAACTCAGAACTCCAATCATCTGATTCAAAAGACGAAATCGCAATAAAGTTTGATGGAAAATTTTCAGATCCATCATAATATTCTTTGATCATATTATACTAAAATGACTCAACCGTTTTTGTTAAGAGCAGCATGGAGTCAAAGCATATGGTCAGTTTCTTGTTATCAGGTAAGGACATTCGTACGAGTAAAACACAAGAGGCATATCGCCTGGTCTGAAATTTCAATCTATAGTTTTTTGTCAAAGTTGGTTTTCACGCTGCCCTGCGATAACTTTAAACCTTTCCTGGCAGAGACATAGTCATTGTCAAATCTGATTACTCCTAACGCCACTGTTCTTACGAAGGCTTAAGTGGTCCTCTGGCGTTGACCAATCTCTAAATCGAAGGGACTAAATCCTAAACACTCATGAACTGCTTCCATAACAACAATCGTTAACAAATGATTGTCTTCATCCAACTCCTTCTCAATTTCAATGCAGGAAATTCTGATTATATTTCTAAAAGTATGTCGACATCTCTCTAATGCACTGAGAGTGAAAAGCACTAGACATGACCTGTCTAATTCCTACATGGCCTTCAGAATCACCCCTGACATAATATTCGGTCCTTGATCAGACTGAAGGTCTTCCGTGAAAGCCAAGCATAGTAACAAACTTGATATAAGCCTTTGCGCTGTAATTTCCCTAAAAAGTTCTTATTAGTATCTGGTTGAAGCGCACATAATGCTTTTAGCAAGTGGTCAACACAATAATCAATCGACTGAAGGGATCTTCAGATGCTGGTATGGGTTTCAAAGGGGCGGGAGTTATCTGATTAGGTTGTCCAACCCATTGAAATGCATGGCAAATCTTCCAAAACAAAATCATTTCACAAGTTTTGTTAATTTAACTGACCAGCCATAGGAGTATTGTGAGCCAAAGTCATTGCTTGTTGGTTGAATCTCAGAACAACAACAATCTGGTGCAATAAAATGAACATGAGCAGTAGTACTCGAAACAGAAGTGAGTGAGTGAGTATGGTTTTATGCCGCTATTAGCCATATTCCAGCAATATTGTGGTGGGGGACACCAGAAATCGGCTTCAGACATTCAATACAGAAGTACTCAAAGTTGAAGAAACGGTATCCTGGGGAGAATGATCCACTAAAGTACCAATAAGGTCATAAGTGGCATACTGTTTGTCTGACTCTTCATGGGCTATCTTGACAGCCATATAACGAGTCACAGCACATTCAGGAAAGGTCCCTGGAATTTGTGCTAACACAAATAGCCAAAACACTGGACCCTGCTGAGTCATTACAAACAAGCAAGTCAACACCTGACTCTGTGAGAGTTTCGTTGACACCAGCTTTCACCAAATCTCAAACTAAATTTGAATACAAATCAACAAACGGGAGAGGAGCGCCAGGAACTCAACTAATGCCCTCTGCTAAAACGTCTGACTTCCGAAAATGGCAGGACATCCTTAAACGTGCAACTACGTCCCTTGGAATAGGTATGCGTCGCAATGTTGATTAATCACCTTAAGTACCACAGAAGCCTTCTTAAGAAATCGGGGGGCGGTCGGTTAGCCTAGTGGTTAAAGCGTTGTCTCGTCACGCCGAAGACCCGGGTTCGATTCCCGACATGGGTACAATGTGTGAAGCCCATTTGTTGTGTCCCCCGCCGTGATATTGCTGGAATATTCCTAAAAGCGGCGTTAAACCATACTCACTTACTCACTCTTAAGTAATCGGCAAATTCTCCTCCCAAACAACAGACTTTAGTTGGTTGGGTGGTCGGTTTGTTGTTTAACGCCGCACTCAGCACTATTCCACCTATATGACGGCGGTCAGTAAATAATCGAGTCTGGACCAGACAATCCAGTGATTGATATCATGAGCATCGATCCACGCAATCGGGATCGATGACATGCATCGACCAAGTCAGCGAGCCTGACCACCCGATCCCGTTAGTCGCCTAGGCCTTTTACGACAAGCATAGTCGCCTTTTACGGCAAGCATAGGTTGCTGAAGACCTATTCTACCCCGGATTCCACGGGTCTAGGCTTTAGTAGCTGACCTTGACAAATATATTCATCGTCGGTGTAAATGACATGACAAATGGGCTGGGACTAGACATCACAAAAGACCGAGGGCAGTTTTAGAGTGAGCATCACAGTATAGATTAATCACCTTCAAGTGACACAAAACCCTTTGAAATAAACAAGCACTCCTCCCGAACCACAACCTACTTTGGTAGCTGACTATGACTAACATATTCATCCTCGGTCTTAATGCCAAAAGATAGGCTGGGACTGGACATCACAAAAGACCGAGGGCAGTTTTAGAGTGAGCATCACAGTATAGATTAATCACCTGACACAAAATCTTTGGAAATAATCGACAAGCACGCCTCCCGAACCACAACCTACTTTGGTAGCTGACTCTGACTAACATATTCATCCTCGGTCTTAATGCCATAAGATAGGCTGGAACTGGACATTCACAAAAGAACGGGGAGTGGTTTGGGAGTGAGTATATGACAATCTGAAATATATTTGTTGCAATATCTACATCATGCACCCATTTACAAATCTTTTCTTTTTCAAACCAAGTGGGGTTTATGATTTCTTAGGGAATAGACTGATAGACTTGCTAGGATTCAAACCAATCTGACATGAAAAAGCTGACCTGTCCTTCCCTTAATTACCCTACTGACCTGAAGTAACCCTTGCCATTCCTGGGAGAGTCACCATAGTGCCTGAAAGTACTCTTGTGTGTGACCGCACAATCTTCACCAAACTTAAGGTTTCAGTCTGATGTAACCATCTACCTTCTGTTCCCCTGGGGGCACGGGTGGCCCAATCGTCTAAGGCGCCGCGATTCGCTGTGCAGAGTTGCGTCCCTTGGGCACGCCATAAACCTATGATTGTGGGTTCGAATCCCGGTTCGCCCCGATTATGTTTCTAGGTTTGTCAGCACCATATCCGTGCTCGTGGGTTTCAGCGAAGTGGTAAACGTCTTGTACCTGCATCACTTCGGGCTTTCCTCCCACATTAAGCTGACACGCCGTGACATAACTGGGACACTGTCAAAAGCGGCGTTAAACCCAAGTCACTCACTCACTCACTCACTCACTCAAATCCTATAGGCAATCGTATTACTATAGCGGGGGCAATATCAACACACCATCCAGTAATTTGATGTATCCAACACTCGATTATTTAAGGAACGCAGTAATACAGAAGGAATATTGCTGGCTGAGACGGAAACCAGCCACCAGGTTGAGAGATTGACGTTCACCACCTTGTTCAGTGCCATCAACACACATCAACATAATGTTAAAAGCGGCGTTAAACCCAACTCACTCACTCACTCTATTCACCCAAATAAGTCGTAATGTGCACGGTACTTCAAAATCTTCAAATAAAATCAGTTCCCTCAGCTTGTTAAAGTCATGGCCAACATCCTTCGACAAACACCACCTATCAAACACTTTCCTAGCATAGTCCACATCAGTATCATCACCCATTTTGTTTGATTGTCAAACCCTTAGCCTGTATATCTCAGGGACCAATGCATACATGTGGTCCTCTAAAATAGCATTTGTTTACGTCATCATAGTTTGAATTAACCGCCATTGGTGGTGCTGAATAAACTGCTTTACCTTTCCCATTAGGGTCAACATTACCCAATGCTCTTGAAGCTATTTCAAATTTGCTGTACTCTTCGAAACCAAATTGTCAACCTCCTGTTCTCGAAAATGAGGGACTGATCTGTCCTTTTCTGTCGAATCTAAGTAGTGAGAAGAATTATTTCTGATTGATATTTTCATTTCTCTCTCTAATGCAAGGATCTTCAAATCCAAACTTTCTGACTTTTCATCCATAAACAATGCCAAAACGGATTCGCCTAAACGTTTCTCCTCGACCAAATGTTCCACAACCCGTTTCTTAATTTCACCTGTTCACATTGAAGGCTTGTAATGAAGGCGACTTAACAACAGCTTACATTTCTTATTTCTTCCAAACTCTGACTTACTCCTACGTTTGGAGACTAAATAAATGTTTCAACCTTAAGGTCCATGTTTTCATTTATGATTTCACAATAATCCCGTGAAAAGCCATGAGGATAGAATGAAAACTGGAAAATTTTGCAATCAAAAAAGTAGATTGTGTACAAATTAAAACTTCTCAGCAAATACTAGTAAAACAAATTCCGTCAGACCCCCAAAACCCCCAAGGTCAACTCACAAATCAATTCGCACAGAAATAAATTGTAAAAAGTGAGTGAGTGAGTTGGGTTTAACGCCTCGTTTAACAGTATTATGGTAACATCACGGCGTGCTGACAATGGTGCTAGAAATCAGGGCGAACCGGGATTCGAACCCACAATCATAGGTTTCTGGCGTGCCCAAGGGACGTAGCTCTGCACAGCGAATCGCGGCGCCTTAGACGACTGGGCAATATTCCAGCTATATGATGGCGGTCTGTAAATAATCGAGTCTGGACCAGACAATCAAGTGATTGACATCATGAGCATCGATCCATGCAATTGGGATACGATCATATGCATCAAACAAGTCAGCAGGCCTGACCCCCCGATCCCGTAAGTCGCCTTTTACGACGAGCATATTCGCCTTTTACGGCAAGCATGGGTTGCTGAAGACCTATTCTACCGGGGATCTTCACGGATCCTTGTCTCTGTGATATTGGGCTGACCATTTGGTTGTCGGGGGATCCTCGCTGTTTTTAGAGTATTTTTGTCCAATAAAAGCAATAAGTCGTCCCAAGGTACTATTATAGACATGCTGGATGTTCGGGCGAAAATATTGTTGTCGGTCCCCAAAATAACATAAAACAAATGTAATACAAAAGTCTGTCTCAAACAAAAACACCCAATAAAGCCTATGCCAGTAAGAATGGGTGTATTTGGTTTAACGTCGCCAGTGTGAATAGATTGTCATCTAACGTATAAACCATTAAGTCATCACGCAGTGAAGCCGTGAAAGGTACAAAGAACTCGACTTTCCTTCAAGGTGAATTACCTACTCAGATAGTATGTGGAATGTGCACAATGTATAGCTTTCCTGATAAAGGCAATTCGAAGCTTTAATCATGAAAGTTTAACCATAGCCTTTGTAAGAAGTAACACATCGGTAGGCAAGATAAGAAGACATCAATTTACTTCTAACACACTTCATTGTGAGCGAATTGTGCATACGTTTTATATATATACAGGAATGAACGGATAGAAAATACTACTCATCATTCAGCATGGCCGCTTGCAATGTTTGCGTGATCTGTTTCTGGGTACTCATGGCTGAGAATGCAGTTGGGGCATTTGAGACCAAGGCTGCCCCACGTTTTCTACCTTCAAAATACTTTACATCCCTTATTAGTAAGTAATAATTTTAATTCTGTTCACTTGCCTTTTCATGAACATTTTGATTGAGAGATTTAATATACTGAAAAACAAAAGTTCCTGTGACATTGAATAAGATTTAATGCAAAGTTATGTTTTTTACCAAATCTGAAACAATTTCGGTTTAAAACAGATAAAAGAATCCTGTAAGTGTTCAAATGGTTTAATTTGACATACTGACTTCAGAAAATGCGTGATTTCGTAAAAAAAAACATGAACATGCCAAAATGTCAATTTACAAATCAAAAGCGTGTGTGTCCACCTCTGCTTGTGATGCAAGCAACACATCTTCGTCTCATGGAATGGACCAGGCGTCACACAAAGTCCTGTGGGATATCTGTCCATATCTGCTGGAGCATGTTTCGATGTTCCTGGAGTGTCTGTGGAACATGTGGTTGACGTCGAAAGCGCCGATCCATCTCATCCCACATGTGCTCGACTGGTGAGAGATCAGGAGAGCGAGCCGACCAAGGGATGACATTCTCGTTGTTTTGTTGAAGAGAATCTTGAACAAGTCGAGCAATTTGAGGCCGGGTGTTGTCATGTTGAAAGATAATGCCTGGGCCATGACGACGCAAAAACGGTAGAACAACAGGGCAGCAATCGTTAGGATTGTTGTTTTACTACATCCCACATTCTATTTTCAGAAGGCAAGCCATCACAACAAGAAAAGATGGAGAAGCGTGTTCAGGACATCGAAAAGACAATCGGTAACTGGTCTTGTCTCGTATAGCATAAGACCGTATCCATGGTCTAGTGGAAGAGAGCGGAAGGTCGTGGGTTCGATCCACGACCGCGTTATACCAAACGACGTTAAATGATGGTGCTTGTTGTTATCCTGCCTGGTGCTGGTTGGTTCGGAGTATACTGTGTCTCAGTGGGGAATACATGTTAAAGTGAGGCATGGTATCTCAGCACCACAAAATCGGCATCAGTCCGAACTAGCGCAAGCAGCGACACACACGTGCATGCATTCACTCACGGCATTAAGGGGACAAAATCCTCCTTACCTCAACTCACCTCACTTCACACTGTCCCGAGAGGTCGAGATACTTTTCAAATTCCAAATATAGAAATGGATGTTACCATGTTCTTCTTATTTTATTACAACAATATTATCACCAAGAACGACCACATTGCCATTGGCATAATTATCAAAAAATATATACAACTGCACACACATCTCAAGCCAATACAGTAAGCTTCATAATGCCACATCGACGAACACAAATGACTTAGGTTGGGAGCTAGCGTCTTCAGATGCTCATAGTATCGGACCCGTGAAGATTCCGGGATAGAATAGGTCTTCAGCAACCCATACTTGCCGTAAAAGGTGACTATGCTTGTCGTAAAAGGCGACTAACGGGATTGGGTGGTCAGGCTCGCTGACTTGGTTGATGCATGTTATAGATCCCAAATGCGTGGATCGATGCTCATGATATCAATCTCTGGATTTTCTGGTCAAGACTCGACTATTCACAGATCGCCGTCATATAGCCGGAATATTGCTGAGTGCGGCGTTAAACAACCCATTCCTTCTGACTTTTATATGTCTGAAGAAAGATAAAACTTCTTGCTTAAAACTTCAGTATATGCATGACGAGATTGTTTGACATGTATATCTAAATATATTTTGCCAGGGCTACGGTCAAACTTTTCCAAATCGGACAGTTTGTACCTATCTCTAGATATCTACAGCGGGTCCTCGGGTAATAGGGAGATGGGTAGTAAATGTGGACTCGTCCCAGCCAATATGTACTATTTCATGTCATATCATATGTCTGTGGTCCATTTTGTTCCGACCCGTGAAGATCCGGGGTAGAATAGGTCTTCAGCAACCCATGTTTGCCGTAAAAGGCTACTATGCTTGTCGTAAGAGGCGACTTACGGGATCGGGTGGTCAGGCTCGATGACTTGGTTGACGCATGTCATCGATCCCAATGGCATGGATTTATCAATCAATCACTGGACTGTCTGGTCTAGACTCGATTATTTACCGACCGCCGTCATATAACTGGAATGTTGCTGAGTGCGGCGTAAAACAACAAACCAAACCATTTTGTTCCAGGGAGTCTCTTTTATCTCAATGAAAACAAAGAGCGTCGTCTTGGATACCTGGAGACCACAATAGGTAATCCTTTGTTTAATTAATTTTTACTTACATTTGTTATTTACTGTCTTCTTAACTTATACAACATCAGTAACGCATTACAAAGTGACATGCAACCCATGCTTGTCGTAAAAGGTGACTATGCTTGTCGTAAAAGGCGACTAACGGGATCGGGTGGTCAGGCTCGCTGACTTTGTTAATGCATGTCATCGATCCCAATTGCGTGGATCGATGCTCATGATATCAATCACTGGATTGTCTGGTCCAGACTCGATTATTTTACAGACCGTCGTCATATAGCTGGAATATTGCTGCGTTCGGCGTTAGACAACAAACCAACCAACTACATAGTGATATGATCCCTTTTGACTGATACACCAATATCAAAGCGGCCCTTTGGAATCCGGAGCGATCGTGGAACATGCACCTGTCACACGTCATTGGATAGCTGAGCCCGTCGTTGAAGTAATGAAGATTCCACGTTGTCTCCGAAGGGAGAAATCGGGTGAATTTAGTACCTTTCTTTCCCCAGCCACCGTATGTGTTATTGAATTTGGTCACCTTGTCATCTAAACATCTAGGCGTGTTATACCTTTTTTTAAAAATAGCGTCTTATTTATACATGTAAACATGAACAGCCTGTCACGTGTAGATAAAAAACACAAAGAAGGCATGTTAACTGATTGAACTACTGGTGTCACAATGAATATTACACTCCTTCATATCAGGGTTGTTTTTTACTCCATTAATTGCAGTTATATCCCAGTGGGGGGCACGGTGGCCCAGTCGTCTAAGGCGCCGCGATTCGCTGGGCAGAGTTGCGTCCCTTGGGAACGCCAGAAACCTAAAATTGTGGGTTCGAATCCCGGTTCGCCCCGATTATGTTTCTAGGTTTGTCAGCACCATACCCGTGCTCGTGGGTTTCACCGAAGTGGTGAACGTCAAGCATCAGTCCGGGCTTTCGGCCGGTCGGGTAGCCTAGTGGTTAAAGCGTTCGCTCGTCACGCCGAAGACCCGGGTTCGATTCCCGACATGGGTACAATGTGTGAAGCCCATTTTTGGTGTCCCCCGCCGTGATATTGCTGGAATATTGCTAAAAGCGGCGTAAAACCATACTCACTCACTCACTCAAAATGTCGGAAAGTACAATGTTGCCTATTTCTTTGCTTGTGAACACAACCGAGATTGAACAAATACTTAAGACATCAGTAACAACAAGCAGAATACGTTTCATACAGTAAAAGCCTATCCCTGGGGTATGTAGTTAGGCTGACACGCCGTGATATAACTAGAATGCTGTTAAAAGCGGCGTTTACCCGTGCTCGTGGGTTTCACCGAAGTGGTAAACGTCTGAGACCTGCATCACTTCGGGCTTTCCTCCCACATTAAGCTGACACGCCGCGATATAACTGGAACACTGTTAAAAGCGGCGTTAAACCCAACTCACTCACTCACTAAAAGCGGCGTTAAACCCAACTCACTCACTCACTCACTCACTCGTTGTGACCAGTCAACGTCTCACCTGAAACGCTTACCGCGCCTTCGTGAAACAGGTGTATATATACTTTACAGCCAATCTGACGTCCAAGTTTGATGTCGACTGTGGTTCACCGACTCCTTGTGACGACACAGACGTTGTCTACAGTTCAACAGGTCTATATGCCGTCGCAAACTACAAGTGCAAGAAGGGTTTGCTGAACATCACTCCAGAGCAGGAGGTGATGAGTTTCTGCGAGACAGACGGGTCCTGGACGAAGGTCAAAATGAAGTGTGCAAACAGTAAGGGTATAAACTACTTCAATGTCTGTTTGAAAATGTCTGGAACAATGCTGGACTTAGAAATGTGAGCTATTTCCTCTTCACGTATCCATTTCCTCTGTTCATGTCTGTCCTATATTGCATCTGCATATTTCTCTAATTCCTTTTTCCGATATATACTATTTGCATTTGTAATAATAATACCCGGGTTTTCTACCAGGAATACATCCCTTCTGACAATCTGGGTAATGCAGAAGGCTGCAGTGTTCATATTCTCCGAACAGTTCTTGGTGTGTTTGACCAGGCAGCGCTTCCTGGGAGAAGTGTAATTCGCTGTCTGGGCTGCGTGTAGAGGGGGCAAGAGCCTTGATGATGAGCCTATCAAGCCTGGCTGTGCCAGGATCACCCAAACCCTCTTTGCAGCATGTTTTATTTTAATCTGTAAATAATAATAATAATGATAATAATAATAGGCTATTTATATTGCGCATATTTCCACACCACTCAGGGGCATGCTAAAAGCGCTATTATTACCCCGGTCACTGGATCACTGTGCGCTCAAGAATCGTTCTCAGCTCCCTGGGGAGATTACAACACAAGCTACCTGTTAGGCACAAGAAGATTAACCACCACATTGCCATCTCATCCTAGCGAGACCTGATTTGTGACCTCTGCGCTATGCACAGGACTACGTGCCACCATTTACCAACTATAAAGGGAGGGCGTGGTTTGATTGGCGTGGAAGCCCTTCGTCATACAACTGTATTGTACACCTTTGCACACATTTCTTTGTCTCGTTGCCATGCTACCTTGTAGTCCAGGTTTGCAGCCCTTTTGATGATAAATGGACATTCCTAAAACACCCACTGATGCACGTTCATAGCAGTACATGAGTTATTACCCCTGCTGAATGATCAGAGCTCTCGACTTTCATTCTCAGCTCCCTGGGGAGTATACTACCCAAGCTGCCTTATGATGCGCTAGACGGTTAACAGTCATGACCGTCTCCCCTACATGTTACCCACCCCTTCACTGATTGGTGAACTGACGCATATTTCGGAACCGTTTTATCTGTTTGCGTAACCTTGGAGATACAAACAACAATGGCGAGGATTGTCATCGAGGTTATCTCAGCACTAATGCACACAAAAATCTAAACTTAAAATAGTTATTTATCAATATATTCGTATTGTTCTTTGCAGTATCGAGTTGTTGGTGGATATCTCAACGACAAGCGGCATATACTGGAACTCAATCAACGACCAGTTCCGGCAAGATCTGCCAGCGATGGGATTCTCAAGAGCCCCACACTCACGAGTACACAGACGATGACAAGTTCGTTATCTCAGGCTTTGACGCTCCTCAAAATGTAACAGGATCTGCTAACTACTGCCGTGACCCATCACGTGACGGGTATTTGTGGTGTTACACCACGGATTCCGATGATCGGTGGGAAACGTGTGAGGTCCCTCTGTGTAACCCGTAGCACTGAATTGAATAGAAGTACGACACTGGCCCAAAGGATCTCTCCTACCGACTTTCAACAACACGTTTGTCCTATTTTCATTCATTGGAAGGGAGACAGCTGCAACATTGCTAATGCGCCGTCAATCAATAGCCACTCACTTACTCAACAGTTTAACATTGGTGACATTTTTTTATTTTTAAAAAAATTGTTTTTATTCATTCCAGAGGGTACATAGTCATCGTATCACAAGAGGCATCAAATTACATGTTAATTATAATGAGGAAAATGTACAGGAAGTGATATGACAGTAGGTTCACCTTTCATACTTTGTAATAATTGTAAGAGATATAAGGATTAATTGATTCAGGAAGCTAATCCGCCTGCGTTATGGTTTTCTCCAATAAACTCCATTTTTTAGAGAAAGAACTAATTGTTCCGTTTTGGTGACATTGGTGACATTTGTTAATACGCGATACTGTCACTACAATGGAGATACTGCAACAACAACAACGGCATCAGTAGTATCCCAACCATGTTCAATGATGGATTTCTACAGCGAGAGACCTGATAGGTTCTATTGAAGGAAAACCTGTAATTTCGTGTTTTTGCAAAATAAACATCTGTCAGTGTCAGTGTGTTTATGTTTTGCTTTGTCGTGTTATACATTTAAGGGTATTTATTTAACTGATAGAGCAAACGGATTTGTTTGGTCCTGTCTCAGAATAGGGTGTGATGTTGATGGCACTGAACAAGTTGGTCAACGTCAATCTCTCAACCTGGTGGCCGGTTTCCGTCTCAGCCAGCAATATTCCTTCTGTATTACTGCGTTCCTTAAATAATCGAGTGTTGGATACATCAAATTACTGGTTGGTGTGTTGATATTGCCCCCGCAATTCACGATGAGTGAATGAGTTGGCTTACTCAAGAGAAGCAACTCTGCACAGCAAATCGCGGCGTCTTAGACGACTGGGCCACCCGTGGCCCCCAGTAATACGATGACTTGCAAGTACCTAAATCACATACATAATCACAATTTTGGTTGCGACGATTATTTTTATGAACCTTCTCTGATACTAAATCCTATGGTCAATCAGTGGCGATTCCGTGATAGAACTTGTCCCCTGCAACATGTCTTGTCACAAGAGTCGACTTGCTGGAATTGGTGGTCAGGCTCGGAGGCTGGTAGCATGTCATCGTGTCCAGACAGCGTGGTACTTTGCTCTTACTATCAATCTCTGGATTATTTACATACCGCCGTGGTATAGCTGGAACACAAACAAATCTATGCACACACATAACGTGATGACGTCACGTATACTATGATGGAGAGAGTGTCTTGATGGCCCGTCATGTAAAACAGTAAGTCAAACGGAAGGTTGTCGTGTTCAGTAATGATACAATAGTAAAACTGTCAGGGAAGAGACGAGGAAACTAATTACGCCTGCTAACCTTATTCACACCACTACCATGTTGTTGTGGATAATACCCACAGAATTGAAAGTCCGGGGTTCGATACCTGTTGGGAATAAACCAAGGACTGGTCTTCTTTTCAAATTCAGCGAACAGTTTTCATAATGATAGAAGAGGTCCGGTAGAATGTTTGATTTAGATAATTGGATTTTTTTGGACAATATTTCGTTTTTCATGTTTTGAACTTAGAAATTTGTTGGAGTCGAAGTTAGTGGTAAAAGACTAGTGAACACTGCCGCTTTTTAGCCTGGTTGTATCTAAATTTTCACATGGATTCACAGAAGTAGACTTTCGCGTCCAGGCTGTTGTTTCTGTTTATGACCGTTTTATAAGTAACATAACATAAGTTATGCCTCCAGCGCATGAGTGAGCTCTATAGGTTACAGTTAGATATATATTTGGGCTTAAGATTATAGATAGTAGAATAGTAGATAGCAGGAAATGGTCCAATGTAAATATTATGTAAATAGTGTAATGGTCGTTTGGGACGGTATCCATAGTCCTTAGTATGGCTAAAAGTACTGGATAAAAGTACTGTATAAAAATACTACATATGCCATCTCACAGACTTCCGCGTAAGGCATACGAAATGTTATTTAATCTTGATTCAGTAGGTAGACCTTGTGTACACCTGCTCCCGAATTTGCTCTAGCTCGAGTTGAATGTACAAGGCCTAATATTGATACCGGGATACACAACACAATTCTAAAATCTGAATGATTATGTACATATTGTAACTTAAATACACACCAAATCAATTTGTATTTCGACCTTCAGTTAGTATTTGAAACTTCAGGCTTACACCATCAAAGACTAAATAACAAAGTAATAATAAAGTCTGATAACAAACAAGACGTGTATCTATTGATTATTATGTTTAGGAAACGGCAACGGTAGAAATGTTAGGTACAGTAATGGTGTTTGTCAAAGTTTGTATTTGCATGTGTTACAGTATCGTTATGAAAAACAGGATGCCAAACCCGAAGTATTACAATGTTAATCCTTACTATGGCTGGTTCACACAGCTCGGCTTTGGCAGTTACATTTACATAACCATGGCATACCTCCTGTGTGTGCAACTACATGTTAATATCCATCATGAAGACATGTTTATCTTTACCATCCTACACTGAGAAGTTTACTAATGGCTTTGTTGAAACATAGTGAGTACGAAAGTTGAAAGTTAACGTGTCATGGGCAGTATTTCAACTATATCGTGACGAGAATTTTTTTATGCCAGGATAGATTTGTTATACATCGTATATAGATATATTTTGTGTGTATCCTTTGGGAACTTTCAAGAGCTTATTTCGGGTGACAGTCTACACCTATTCTGCTGTCAAGGTCACATGAGGTGTTCAAATTAGTTGGTTTGTTGTTTAACGCCACACTCAGCAACATTCCATCTATATGACGGCGGTATGTAAATAATCAAGTCTGGACCAGACAATCCAGTGATTGATATCATGAGTGGTTTCTGATGGACATTCAAATCCCCTCCTGCCATATCCCTAACAGTTTCATAAACGTTATCATTTGTATGCAAAGGATATGCCTTTGTCTTGGAAGCTAATCTCATCATCTCATCTAGAACGTCAAAATCGTCGCCAAAACATCAGACATCAAGCGTACCGTATTTCCTCTATAAGACGCTCGGCCGTCTATTAATTTCGCGAGAGCCGTTGACTGGGCGTTATAAGAGTGAGTGAGTATGGTTTTAGCAATATTCCAGCAATATCAGGGCGGGGGACACCATAAATGGGCTTCACACATTGTAGCCATGTTGGGAATCGAACCCGGGGCTTCCGCGTAACGAGCGAACGCTTTAACCACTAGGCTACCCGACCGCCCCAGGCGTTATTAGAGACCCAGCATCTAGAAGAGTGAATACAGTTCTTATGGCTGATCGGCGGACATATTTATGAGGATCGATATGTTGGATATCGCTGTATTCATACGCGCATTTTTCAGTGAAAAGTGATAATATATTTTAAAACGGTTTCTGAAGCAAACAGAAAACCTCTTTGTAACCAATCAGAATCAAGAAATCTTCAATATCATTGTAGAATATGTTATCAGAACCTTGGATTTACATTTGAAACTGTTATTTTTATAACAGCATCAGGAGCTGATCTCAGTACCTTTTCTTAAACTAAATGCCATAGGAATCAGAAAGAAAATAAGATCAAATTCCATGTGTTTATTAGAAAGCGTGCTACAGCTTATTTCACTTTAAAAAAAGTTGAATCATGTTATTACAAACGATTAGTTCACATTAGAAAATAAAAGTGCAATCTTGCCTTCTGAACCGAATTGAACCTTATGTTACTCAAGCCCACAAGACATGGTGCGTTGAGGGTTAACAGTGATCTGTATATTCACATACATGGCGGCATCATGTTCTATAATCACTGAAAAACATTCATAATATATTTACAGAAAATTGATAACTGCTTCATGGTAAGTTTATCTTTGCATTCAAATAATTTTCCCAGTTTAAACATTGAAGGATTTCCTGTATCATCAGAATATAATTTGAGTGACAGGTAACAAACATTTCACAAGTGAAGTAATTATACTCATCAGCAATGTCATTACAAGAACACAATGGAACTGATGTAACTAATGGTATTTTGTGTCTAGCGACCTCTTTCAACTGTGACATGCAGCCAACAGTATTAGTGGCATGTAGTATGTTGGGGCTAAATTATCTAGGTAGAATTCCGTTTTAATTTCATAATTAATAAGTTTATAGAATCTGATCTTCAAGATGTGTCTTCAGCATACATTTAAATACATTGGTATACATGGAAATATATTAATATAATATATACAGGTAAAATAATACAGGATATGTTTGACGATTTTCAAGTGATTAGTTTTGTTGGAAAAGCAATCATTTTACACATCAGTGATGTAAAGTGGTTTACTTTTTATTTCTGCATACAGTATATAAAGTGGATTACCCTTCGTGTTAGGCAACAATTTGCTTATAAATTCAAGGTGAATATTTTCCATTATGATTCATGTTTCACCTCCCCAGATTTCTGAACCCTACATGTAATTTAGAATAGGGATTATCATGGAATCAACTAACTTTGATTGGCTGGTTATCGAAAGGGTAATATTATGTAATCAAGCTTTGGTCAATATGAAATGCATTGCCTTTCATGGTTTCTCACACAATAACACACTATATCACACTATAACCACTGGGTGGAATAAAATACATGGCTTTTGAGAATTACTCCATGGTACATATATTCATTCGCATTTCAAAAAATTCTTATTTTAATAGTATACATAGAGAAAAAATCTCACTGTGGTCCATATAATATGAGAATGTTACATTTATCGATATTTATTTATGTATTTATTTATTCAAATCTGATATGTCACACATCTATGGTAAGAATATTGTTTCTAAACGACTCCCATTATCAATATGAGTTTACATGCGCAAATAGTAAATTATGCTTTATGAAGTACACATAACATTGTTATACATCATACTATATACAAGAAGACCATAAGCAAACATCAACAGAGAAAGCAAGTTGAGGATGTTTCTGGTAAAGCCAACTGGTAAGGGTTAATCAAAATTATGTTAAAGAAAGCAGCTGCAAGTAAAATTATATTCCTAGTGGGTGAGACAATCTGTTCACAAGAAAACGCATCGTGAGTTGCTTGACATTGAATCCTGTATTCTTTGAACGTGAATGGCGACGCAATGAAACCGATAAGGCAGGCTTGTGCGGAATCTGTAACACAGGAAAAAGGAAACTTATCCATAATTGTGTCTGTACGATGGCATCATGTAGAGACACGCAGTTTGCTATCTACATGTCGTATTTTATGTAGATTATGTAAAATGCAAGAACATTATATATTATGTGACCCGTGAAGATCCGGGGTAAAAAAAGGTCTTCAGCAACCCACAATTGCCGTAAAAGGCGACTATGCTTGTCGTAAAAAGCGACTAACGGGATCGGGTGGTCAGACTTGCTGACTTGGTTGATGCATGTAATCGTATCCCAATTCCGTGGATCGATGCTCATGATATCAATCACTCGATTGTCTGGTCCAGACTCGATTATTTATAGATCGCGGTCATATGGCTTTAATATTGCTGAGTGCGGCGTTAAACAACAAACAAACAAACAAACAAAATATACATAATGTCTCAGATGCAATACCTCGCAATGTGGACCGGGTTATTTCTTTCCGTCTCAGCGACTTGACAGTCCTTCGTAGGCATGCTCTGAAGAAAACAATAACAACTACTGCTAAAGAGATTGTTCTCCAATCTCCAATAAAGCTGTACGTCAATATGCACATTCGACCCAAAAAATTGATACATTTCAAACGTGTAAAATATCTGTTTACAGCGGACATAAAATCTTCTCAATTCTATTCTAATAAAATATCAAAGGTAGTTTTACTTAAGGCAAGTGCATGAAAATGCCTCTTCAGCCATCTGCTACACTCTTTACCCCAAGGACTTTTGTCATATTGACATGTTTGAGATTTGAAAAAGTTTGCAAAAAGAGTTTGCCGCATATGCGTGCGAATATATGTTTATTGTTGGTTACCTTCTTCTGGAGGGTCCGGGCACGTTTCTGACTTCTTCCTTAATTTGCGAAAAAAGGGAAAGTTGTGAGTGAGTGAGTGAGATGGGGTTAACGCCGCTTTTAACATTATTCCATTTATATCGCGGCATGTCAGCTTAATGTGGTAGGAAAGCCCGAAGTGATGCAGGTCTCGGACGTTTACCACTTCGCTGAAACCCACGAGCACGGGTATGGTGCTGACAAACCTAGAAACATAATTTGGGCGAACCGGGATTCAAACCCACAATCATAGGCTTCTGGCGCGCCCAAGGAAACAACTCTGCAAAGCAAATCACGGCGCCCAAGACGACTTGGCCACCCGTGCCCCTAAAAAGAGAAAGTAAAGTATGCTTTTGGTTTCTTACAAATTAAAGACATCTTACTTTAATCAGGCCTCTTTGCATTATGGGTTTTTTTCTCTGGGAATTGTTCATATCCGTTACAAACTGTGAAACAGAGACAGTGTTTATCAATGTACATGTACAAGATAACGACGACAAATGAAGTTACTTACATTTCCGCTGTTCCATTCCCTAAAAGGACAGAAAGAGACAAATGTTTAAGCTGCGTCACAAACACATCTGATAAATAAATCCACCATAGTGAGTTGTCTACTATAACACACTTTGTTGCGAAAAGAATTATTTCAGCATCATATTTAATAAATGGTCCCGTTTATTTCGATTGTTTATGTATCAATATGTGCCAGGCTAACTGCAAGTACCTTTCATCGGGAGACGCTTCAGTGTCAGCACCACGAGAACGATGACAAGGCAGAGAGCAATCAGCACAAGGATACTCCCAACAACATATACAACAGTCGTCATAGAGTTGCCTCCCTTGTCATATGACTTGGTAGCTACAACTGGCAATGTCGAAGCTGAAATTGAGAATTTAATAACGCGCATGTGATAATAAATATACAAAAATACACCATGACATGAACTGTCCAAAACATTTTCTCATATTTAAGACACAAAACAACTTGGTCAATAATCATCAATCAATTATAATCGTAATTGTATTATTATTAATAACAGTCATTCCTGACATGGGTACAATGTGTGAAGCCCATTTCTTGTGGGCGGCATATTAATAACAGTGACTGACAGTGATATGTGTTACGTTCACTTATTTTCAAACAATTCTCACATAGTTTGAGTGGATAGATATTATAGAGTTTACCTTCACTGTAGTCATGGACGGTGACCCGTATGGTGCACGCCCCGACGCCAACCTCAACGTCTCCACGTCGGTTAGTGATGTTGTTCCTGGCCTCGCACTTGTAGAGGCCGCCATCTGAATGGGAGGCTTCTGGAATACGGAACTTCTCTGTCATGCTGGACACCTCTTTCTGGTAGGCGGTGATGTGCGACCATGTCAGGGTGTGCGGTTCTGGGAAGCCATCAACGTCACACTCTAAATTGAGAGACTGACCCACTACAACTGATACCTCCCTTTCACATTTGACGGAGGGTGCATCTGAAAGTGTAAAAAAGGCTTTTACTTTGGGAATGTTTGTTTGTTTGTTTGTATAACGCCGCCCTCAACAAAATTCCAGCTATATGACGGCGGTCGGTGAATAATCGAGTCTGGACCAGACATGAGCATCGATCCATGCAATTGGGATACGATGACATGCATCAACCAAGTCAGCAAACCTGACCACCCGATCCCGTTAGTCGCCTCTTATGACAAGCATCGTCGCCTTTTATGGAAAGCATACTTTGGGAATGACAGGACTTCAGTGAAACCAGTGTTGTCAATCATGTTCAAATATATCTCCTTCAGTCTGAAGTTTGTGAGAGATTTCCATTTATCTGTCCATTAAAGAAATTACAAATATATTCATTGAAACCTCCTTGGTCAAGACAAAGTTAACCCAGAAATACACACTTTACAATAAATGCCGAACATGTATAAACAAAAAATAATATAATCTTTATTCATGAGTCGATAATCCGGGAATCTAATAATGTAATCTGGACGATTTCAATTTATAAACGTCGAAATAATAAAAAAAACGTTTTGGTCAATAGAATATGACTTACATGAAACATACAGTTTGATAAGATCCATGCCAGAGTCTGAACGTCCACTGGGAAATTTGTTTGTCACATCCAGGATATAGTCCCCCGTGTGATTGAGCTGTATGTTTGGTATGACAGGAGGTTTGTTGGATTCAGTGAACTCGGAGTCCAGCCCTGCCTGGCGCCATCTGTAGACGTGTGGTGGAGGGAGACTTATGTCAGACCTGCTCAGGTTCACTGTGTCTCCTCGTTGGGCGTACATTGTTCTCGTGGTTAGGCTGAGGGGGTGGTCTAAAATATTATGCACATTGATTGTGACATTATGTATTTAATCATCAAGTTTTCTTAACTCAAAGAGGCCCTTGAAACATTATTAAGTGTTAACGTTAACAAATTAAATGATGTTGCTTTAAATGAGAACTTAACACAATTTGCCCCGCCTGTTGCTGTGGAAAACGACAAATATACATTTCGTATATGTTTAATGTAGCACACACAGGCAGTGCTTCTGCTTGAGTCTTTAATATCCAGTTAAGAATAGGTCTTCAGCGACCTATGCATGCTGTAAAAGACACAATGCTTAACACAAGAGTCGGGTGGTCAGGCTCGCTGACTTGACTCATACATGTCATCGTATTCCACTTGCGTGGATCGATGCTCAGGATGTCAATCACTGGATTGTCTGGTCCAGACTCGATCATTTACAGAGCGCCGTCATATAGCTGTAATATTGCTGAGTACGGCGTTAAACAACAAACACATTTAATGTTTCAGTGCCATACTTACACATAACAGTAACGATAACTGAGTCTGATCCAAGAAGTTTGGTTCCAGTACTTGAGTAAACTGTACAGGTCAAGTTCCCAGAGTCAGTGTGCTTCAGAGTGATTGCCCTAGAAGCCTGGTTAAATTGTATGTTTCCGTTTTTGGTCCACACATACGCAACAGACTGTCTTGTGTACACTGTGCAAGACAACGATCCGCCCTCCTCGATGTCCCTGATCTTCTCGTTGCCAAGGGTTATCAAACCTTCTGTGTCTGTGTCATGTAAATGAGAAGACGTTAAGCAAACCAAAGGGCAATAGTTTTAATGATAAACAACCATAGAGAGGGAGTGAGTGAGTGAGGTTTGACGCCGCTTTTAGCAATATTCCACCAATATCACGGCAGGGGACGACACAAATGGGCTTCACAAATAGTACCCATGTCGGGAATCAAACCCGGGTCTTCGGATCTGACGAGCGATCGCTTTAATCGATATTTGCGTTATATTGATCTGTGTGGAGCAATAACAGCAAAGTGCGGTGAGGAAATCCTTAAGCATCTTTAAGGATGCCCACTTTATGTTGGCTTCCGAAGTAGCGGTGTTACACAATATTAATGCCTGTCATACATGTATATGTGGTCAAGATATATTTAGAGGGACAAGCCTTGGACATATACATCAAAACACTTTGGTTAAAGGCGATTATTCATTTTCCATTAATTGAGATCGACAACCGATTCAAACCAATGGACCCCTGTTCCATGAAGTATCTTCACTAGTACCCAGGAGTTTTCGTTTAATCTAGTTGATGATGAACACGCTGTGTTTTATATTTTAAATGTTATCTCTATTTATGAATACAATACAAAATTGTGCAACGAAATCTTTATCATTGAAACCGATTTTGATTTTGAATCATGCTGCCATTTGTTTATGAAAATAAACTACGAGGGGGACTATTTTGGGATGTTAGTCAAATTTCAAGCTTTAAAAATATTTATCCGTATTTGAATACTGATGTCTCCCTGAATACAAAAAGGATCTCGGCAATTGCCATATCATGCCTTTTGAATGAGATCGTTTGGTCATTACCTTCACCTGCGTTGCCCAGCTACATCTAAGGGGTAAACTCACGTCCTTCTAGAAATAGTGTCGTCCAATTTATGACGTCTTGAAGTTGCGAGCGTATGTTCGAATCTCGAGAAATGAAGTCATGATAGAACAGGCCTCGTTCTTTATTGTTCTTTGTTCTTTGTGTTGGTATCACAAAATAGCAACATGTCCGTTTGACAGCTGCGTGTCAGTATCAGGATATAGTAACTATTCGGTTATCTCACCATTATATCATCACACTAGCAATATTGAGGGACCTTTGTCCCTGTGCAAGACAACAGTGCCATATATTTAACACTTCCGGGTAGTGAAATGAGGTTTCTCCGAAAGTTGTAGGTGCTGAAAAAAGGATGAAATCGTTTGTGAAGAGATCAGTGATTGACATCATGGTCATCGATCTACACAATTGGAATACGATGACATGCATCAACCAAGTCCCGCTAGTCGCCTCTTACGACAAGTAAAGTCACCTTTCACAGCAAGCATGGGTTGCTGAACATGTATTCGCAACCCGGATCGTCATGGGTCGCATGTTTTTTGGTATGAAATGTTAACAATTTGGATCCAGATTTGAACATGTATATGTTTGAAAGTACAAAAACGTTATTAGGCATGCCCTTTACATAACATGAGGGATATAATATATGGGTTTATATCCTTTGCATACAGTAACTCCATGTAAGCCAACGCTCAATAATTTATCAGTTTGAAGACCAGGAATGGTCAAAATGCATTGAATTTTTGTTTGTTATGTCCACAGACTTAGCGATAAGAAATTCTGACACTCAAATGAGAAATATAACATTCTCGCTGTCCCACATATATGTACGGAGACATCTGCAATAGTACACAATCAAGATATACAACATATAGTTAGGAGAACAGCACTGAACAGTCTCTCCATCACATGTGCACTTACGTATTGAGTCCCAGGTGTCTGCAGACAACATTGACTTCTGCAGGGCCAAAGTAGCTCGTACATAATGTTCCCCATGTATTGTTATGTAGAATCTGCAGAACACCTTTGTTTGGTCCAGGAACAAGACGAAGAACAACTGAAAACATTATACATCAATATGTTATAATGATCAATGTATATGTATCTAGATCACAAAGTTCCTATAAATGGATTGATGAGGTACATTATTTATTTGTTATATTGGAAAGATGCAGCTGAAGAGATCGGAACTGCTGTATACATGCACAACTTAAAACTTAGTGTAAAATATGTTTATTTAAAAACTTGTCTTTGGAAAGTCACACGTATAATCATTGGTTGTTAGTTACGTATCGTATTATTTGTTAAGAAGAGAAGAAAGTTCTGAAAGTCACTTGACTGACCACTGGTTGAAAGACCGTGTGATACTTTAAGAACTTTCTTTGAGAAGCATTTGAAAAACAGTGGATCTTTTTTGAAAGGGGGGAATTTGTTTTTAATTTAAAACTTTCCTGAATTGTGCCTTTTTTCAGAACCTGTCAGTGAGTTGTTACGGTATTAATGCATCTGCATTCCATCCATCACACACTTTCTGTATCATTGACTTCATTGACTTTAATTATACACCGTGTTGTGTTTCCCCTGGCCTATTCTACCCCTCCTTTCCTCGCTGTGTATTTAGAGGATATATTTAGATTCAATATCAGGTGAACCCATAACAATAATAATATCCGCTACAAGTTCGCCAATGAGGTCATATGTTATATCAAAGAGAGAAGTATAATACCTGCTCCTGTCGTGAGGTGAAGCATGCACAGTGCAACAAAAAACGGTATGTGACGTTTCATAACTACGGCGAGCATATTCTGAAAACAAATTAAATATTCATAAAAAATGCTATGACACCATGTCAATCTGGGAATAAGTAGGATATGATGCATGTACTTGTCCTTATTACGACGTGTTGTACAGTAACTGATGCAAGTCTTGGGAGTCTTAACATCTTTATATACAAATGGCTGATCCGTGACAGCAGGGCCTGCCATAGTCAGATCAAACACTGAGCTACTTCCTGGTAAAGATGTATTCAACATTATTAGTTATTGATACACGTTTATGTTTAAAGGAAATATTTACCTCAAAATACTGAAGTAAGAAAGTAGCAATTAACAATACTGTAGACATAACGTGACTCTCTTACCTCAGCCCTTCCTGATGTTACCGCCAATATTCTGCACGATATGCTCTCTAGACTCGCATTGTAGTTCAAGCTCCCCGTTGTTGAATGCAACGAAGTCAGACTAACGTCAAAGCCTCGTCTCTTATCTATGTCGGCGTGCAGGAGATAATATACTATTGTATACAGGCGAGGTGATGTGAGTGAGTGAGTGAGTTAAAATTTAACGTCGCATCACCATTATTTCAGCCATATTGCAACGAGACCAAGTTAATATATACACAATTAAGTCATTTTTGCAGGGTAGTATTTAAAAACAATTAATGAAATATATTTGAGCATAACAGTATCATGTATACATTTTAAAACACGGGCTATAGGCCACCAGTAACCAAAGCTAGGCTACCTCGCTGGGGATCATGGGGACTTACAGTACCTCTGCATCCTGCATGATACCCGAGCAGGATTTACGTCATCACTTTAGCTACTGGTTGTTGTGCATAATACTAGCCAATATCAAAATTAAATACTCAGTAATGAGTTGGCTTAAAAACACTGGTTGATGATAGTTACATCAATTATGATAAGATTACGTGCCACACAGGGGGACAATAATTTCACGGTATTTAATCTCCTGGACAGAACCTTCAAAATGTCAGTTGATAATAGCATCGCACTAAATTTAAAAACAAGCGTTTAATTATTCACATACTTACATATTTAAAATTTATTATACAGACCAATGTCTTTCAAGTAATTTAAGATGAGATGCCCGCTGACAAGGGAGAAGAGATCTTTCAGATTTACGCTTTCATAATGTGAATCCCCTGCGACAGCAAGGTCCACACAGTCAAGGAACATATGTTTGACGGCGAACCTTTCATTACAAGGGATACATTTAGGAGGTTCGTCCTTATCCTGTCTTCAGCAGATATTCGTGTGTAAACCGACTGTGGCCAATACGACTTCATAGTAAAACGACTTCGTCATGTCTTGACTTACAACCCAAGTAGGTATGACCGATTGTTGTTTTTAATTTGTGAAGTTTATTGCTTCCTACCTGGGTGTCCTACCTCTTTTGCATGAGATCCCGAGTATAAGATTTGATGGTTGGTTTGAAATCACTGTACGGGATCAGTAGTGGAGATAACGGTTTGTCAAGAGCTGCTTTAGCTGCAGCATCGGCTTTTGAGTTATCTGTTGTGCCTACATGACTTGGTAACCAGCAAAAGACGATGTCACATTGGCCAGTAGAAAGATCATTATAGAGTTCTAAAATGTCTAGAATAATAGGGTGATATGATGAGACAATGTTTAGTGCCTGTAGGCAAGACAACGAATCAGAGAAGATGATAAAAAAGGAGTAGTTTCTGACTTTTTTAGCTGGGTTAGGGTAAGGTCTATTTCTGGCTGCGAGGTGATGTGAAATTGGGTTTATGGAACCTATGCATGCAGTGTGCGTGCGTGCGTGTGTGCGTGTGTGCGTGTGACTGCTTCTACTAGCCCGGACTAATGCCGGTTTACTGAGGTACCATGTCACAGTTTAACACGGATACCGAACTCAGACACAGTATACTGACTCCGAGCCCACAAGTTACTGTTTTATCCGCCAGGCAGGGTAGCAACAAGTACCATCGTCTTATTGTATAACAAGACCAACGACGTTCCGACTTTCGGGCAGACACCCTATCCACTAGACCATGGATGCCATCAACTAAAATAGACTATTAACGTGGCTTATTGTATGTTGTCGATGGTGACCTTGGAAATGTCATACTTATTTTATACTATATATGTATGCAGACTTTCCAGACAGCCTGAAGGTAACAAGAAATACCATCGTTAACGTCTTTTGGGATGACGCGACCGGGTATCGAACCACCGATCTTCCACTCTCCACGCAGACACTCTGTTCACTAGACTACGGATGCGGTCAAGGCGATGAAATAAATTACATAGTCCATGTGTGTTATTGTATGTTATCTATAGTGAGCTTACAAATGTCGTAATTATTTAACGTTTGCATACGATTAATATTATATTTAGAGAAACGTTGAGCGTTCAGCAAGATCTAGTCGGATACAATATATGTTAGTGCAGATAGTTCTCTGTGTAATATTGATCCATCGTGTGTCTCCTGCTAGACACAGGTTTTAGTCAGTAACTTCATATCTCTACAAAATATCCAATAAAAAAAAAACACTTACAACACGTCTCTCAAAGTATTCACACTAAAGTCGTGTGTTAATCGATATCGACGGTGAACTAGAAATGACATAAGTATTTTTATATGTGTGTGTACACAGGCTTTCCAGAGACTACTTGACCACTGACTGATTCAGATCGGGGTGCGGGTGGCCCAGCGATCTCGGACGTCGTCGTGATAGGATCTGCGGAGCATAGGTTCGAATCTTAGTTGGGGCCTGTTCATAATGCGTTGTTTGGCAACATCAAGAGGTAATTAACTATCTATGATCTGCATCAATATGGGCAAAACAAAGAACGCTGTCTGTAACTGAAACATTGTGAGTAGCAGGAGGAGTAAACCTGACTCACTCACTCACTATCGCATCGTTCTGACATGGGCCTCAACCACATTCGATCGCCTTTAGCAGAGATGTCGGAACATATATATATTATTTCAATAGCAACATGAATGTCAGACTAGAGGAAAATGGCGAGCGGCAAAAACTGACTATAATTATTGTTTATTTATACGTATATCCGCCCGGAAAATCCTGGTACAGTATTTGAACAGGTTTAAATGGGGCACTTGATATGACACGAAAATACTACAATGGGCCTGAGGCAGTGTTTAAATAAAGTTTTCCTCCACCGCCTATCGCAGGTAACCTCTTAACTGATTCATATGAATGTATTGTAAATTCAAGGTGTAACTTGGTATCTCTTAACAGCAGGATGTTTTTGCATTTACGGCTTCAAAGCACAACGTACTTTAGCAATTGTTTAATGTCACCATTACAGGAGCATTGAATAACAACAAATACATACAAGTATAACGGGGTCGAATGTGGAAAGGTATCGGTTATTAACTGACTATATTTCGATGCTTTTAGAGTCAAGTGTTAACGCCATAGACTAATCTAGCATGGTATAGAATTTTCGTGAAGGTTTCTAGACAACAGCGCATGCCTCTCTCATCTCACATTACATCAAGACCAGAGGTTGTGTGAAAATCATTTTTCACCATGAATGTCCAACCTTGGCCTGTTTTGGAAGCTTGACCTCTGTTGATGTTGTTAGTTTGTTTGTTGTTTACCGCTCTCGGCAATATTCCAGCTAAATGACAGCGGTCTGTAAATAATCGAGTGTTGACAAAACAATCCAGTAATTGATATCATGAGTAACGACCCACGCAATTGGAATACGATGACACACATCAACCAAGTCAGCGAGCCTGACCATCCCGATCCCGTTAGTCGCCTCTTACTGCAAGGATAGTGGCCTTTTACGGCTAGCATGGGTTGCTGAAGACTAATTCTACCCCGGATCTTTACAGGTCGTTAAAACCTTTTATATAAAATGAGGCAAATGGCCTGGCAATCCAAAATCATGTAACTCTTTTAAAAAAACACGTTTACATGTTGAGTCACATGCGTGTTTCCAGGTCGAAAAATATTGTTTATGTACTATGGCAGTTTTAACGAACGATTCAAAGCGACTTAATTAATCTATGGTACGTGCACTTCTGATTTTTTCCGGAAACCATATTTGATATTAGTAATAAGATCGCTAGTTTGAAAGTGTCAAACAAGTCGATTATTTATCACGTGTTCGTTGGTTTGGCAAACGCAGCTTGTCAATGATTTTTGTCGGAAATTTGAAGGGTCATTACGACCTCGCCCAGTCAGGGGTATTGGGACAACTATAGCAATTCCATGAATGAGAAAAAAATTCCCTGACGTAAAAATTTCATCTAAAGTATTCAATTGTGTTTCTTAAGGTAGGTGTTGGTAACCCCAACACCAACACTGACTAATTTTCATGTATTGTATTTTGTAAATTGAATGCTAACTTGGTATCCCTTTTTAGCAAGATATTTTGCATTTATGGCTAGAGCACATAAGTAACCTTTGACACGGCTGTATATCACAGCCATAGGAACATTGAATATATACGAGTTTAGCGGGGTCGAAGATATGTTGATGGGCATATTAGATGATGTTGGATATTTTCTTAAAATATCAGGGGGCACGAGTGGCCAAGTCGTCTGAGGCGCCGCGATTCGTTGTGCAGTGTTGCGTCCCTTGGGCACGCCAGAAATCTTTGATTATGTTTCTAGGTTTGTCAGCACCATACCCGTGCTGGTGGATTTCGCCGAAGTGGTAAACGTCTGAAACCTGCATCACCTTGGGCTCTGCTCCTATATTAAGCTGACACGCCGTGATATAACTATTCTAGAATACTGTTAAGAGCCGCGTTAAACCAAAATCTCCCACTCACTCATTCTTAAAATATTAGGTCCAAATTGCTTCCACGGAAATCGAGACAAGAATGGCACCACTTAAATGATGACTGACCGACTGACTGACGAGACGAGGCGTCGCCTATATAACAACCACCCCCAGCCCCCACCCCCACCCCCCGCCCATTATATGCAAGACTTGGTAAAAAACACAACGACACGACACTAGAACACAGTTAATTATAGGCTTTATTGAAAAGCATTGTCAAGGCAATTGCTAAACAATATTAGTTTGAACATAATACAATAACGTGATATATATTTGAAATAAATCATCACCAGATAAAACATCATCTCTTGGATATTGTTTGCATAAAGTATAATATAACGTGAAAGGTAGAAAATGGTTACATATGCATATTAACACATCAAAACATATTTTTATCCCGAATATTTACATTTTTGTAATTCGTTTGTATATTTCAAGTACACAGATAAAACCATGTTTTTTGTCATTATAATTCCCCCGTTTTGAAACAGTCCGTCCGTCTGTCTGTGCTTCGTCCCTTTTCCGTTTCCGGAGCAGAACTCCTAAACCGTTGAATATTGCTTGTTGAAGCTTGCTATACAAATCAGTCCAGTGGTGAATTGATGCCTTTTGATGACTTGGGAACTTTCTTTTCGTTTTTTTGTGACAAGTTGGAATTATACTGAAAACG